GTATAGACTTAAAGAGAACTTTCTCTGTCCGTGTTATAGGCAATTTTTTGACACTTTACAGGAATATATTGGACTTTTCCAGTGTGATTTCCCGACGAAATCATAGAGCAACCGTAGCTTAATGGATCTGAAAAGGGAAAAGGTGAAAAACTGATATTTTTGTCCTTTTTTGCATTTTTCATCTGTTAATACAAATAAGAAAAACTACCACAGAATCCCTGGTAAACGAATTACATGCCGATGGCAACTGAAAATCAAATTATTCAAACCAAAACAAAAAAAACACAAATAATGCATGTTGCATGTGCAAGCCATTGATTGAATTATGCTGAATTGCAGAAATGAGGGAGAGATTCGGGACATCAGCGGCATGCAGCGGCATTCCTTTTATTGTCGCTTTGCATCGCGTGTGGCATGCATCATTGAAAACAAGCTAAAAGGGGGAAAAAATGCGATTGAATTGAAAATCAATTTCCATTCAATTTAGGCAAATGCTTAACAAATTAAGCAGAGCCCAAAATCTAACAGGAGGTGAGGCATGCCACCTGGCGAACGCATGCCCCCAGCCATACCTCGCTCTCCCCTGCTAAAGCTGTCAAAAAAATCAAATCATTTAACAATAAACGCAAGCAATTAAATTCGACTGTGAAGCAGTGGCAAGGGTGTCTGGATGTGCAACGCAAATCAAATAATAAAGAGAGATAAATGCGATAGTTTCAGGCGACGAACGTTGGGATACTCTTTAGTATCCATTGATTCTTTGATTTCCGATCTTTTTTGGCTAATATCTACATATATATCTAAATGTATATATGTATTTAAACGTTCATGCATTTATGTAGATCTGTATGTATACCTTTAGCTTCCATTGTTGCGATTCGTTTATCCTTGGAAATAAACAAGTTTTTCTTCCAAAGACTAATGTGATGTAGCGATTATATCCTGGTCTATGTTCTATGCTAAGTTTCATCCGGATATAGTTATCATTGAAAGACTTGTTTACATAGAAACATCACTCTTCCGTTGAGGCTTGCCCAAGAGGGCGTTTTTTAAAAAGGGCATACGAAAAGAAGGAAGGAAGGTCACTTAATTGAGGAAAAAGGGAAAGCTAGGTAAAGTCCTGGCCTCCGATTGGACCCCCGAAAATGTACACTGACCAACACGTTTTTAAGTGCGAAACAATGTAATTTCATGGTAATCAGTAGACCATACCCTTACTCCGTTCTACCGTACCCGTACCCACCAGATACGACGTTTCCCGAATGAATTTCCGGCTGTGTGCACATGCCACATGGCTATAGAGATTCTCCGGACGGTCGGACACTTGGGGCAGGCACTACAGAAATGTCAGTTTGCAATTTTCTATGCCATTTAAAATAAATGAAAATGGGAAAAGCTCTTCTTTTGAGCCTTCCCCGGCTCTGGGCCGGCGGATTGTAGTAGTTTTAGGTGCTCTTGGGCCAGTGCGCGTGTTAACGTAAATAAATTACAAACACACATACACACACACACACACACACACTAGAAAGAGGGAGAAGAAGAGACTACGCAATCAAGTGGTCAGCGGCATGCAGCTTATAAATCAGAGGCAGAGAAACAGTGCCTCTAAAAACATTTCGGGAATGGAATGGCGATGGAATGGGCGATGGGCGATGGATGGATGGATGGACCCGCATAGCAATGGGTGGATGGATGGATGGATAGATGAGTGAGTGAGTGAGTGAGTGAATGACCGAATGACTGAATGAATAGATTGAGCGGGGAATCCCGGATAGATGGATGGCTCGTATAAATGTCCAGCTATTTAGTTTCGGTTTGCTGTGGTTTGACTTTGCTTGTTTTTCCCCCCACTCTCTCCCTCTCTCCACCCACTTTTTCACTCTCTCCCTGTGGGAAAATGGGAAAAGTTGATATTGTGCTTTTTCCCGCTTTTAATGTTGTTTCGGGGACAATTGTCGGACCCCACGGAGTGGTTTTTGGCCTGACAAATGGCAGAGCAATTACGAATTAACTAGCATCTGGTTATTGGACAGTGGGAGGGGGGAGGGACAGATGGAGATGGGGTCTAAGCCGCTTTAGCTGCGAGTCAGTGTGGGTCAGTGAAGGATAAACAAGGAGAAAGAGAAGAGGGGACGAAAATACTGAACCTAATATATAGATAATTTATCATATAATAATTCTAGTATATTCTTGGGACTGTCGTTCAATGGAAGATCATTTAATAGTCATTTAAGTATGATGCCCCACCTCGTGCCTTTGTCTGCCTCATGCGACGCATGCCACAGGAATGCCGACAGCATATTTGCAGCTGAAAATACTGTGGTCGGTGGCCGGACTGCCAGCAGAACAGCAGAACCGAACATAGCCGCATAGATTCTTGTGAGTACTCCCATATTATCGCACAAAGGACTTCACTTGCAAACGCCAACCGCAGCCGAGAGGAGATAGTAGGGGGATAAGGGCCCAAGAAATATTACTGTGCAAATATTTGTATCGCATACTTTGGGGCGCACACGAAAGTATCTCTCTTTTGGAACGAGGGGGATGCAAATGCATCCGGCGGGTTATGCACAGCTTTTTCTTGATGGAAAACCCAAAACGAAAACGAGATAAGGACTAGAGCTCTCCGTACAAAAGCCGCGTATCAGCGCTAGACGGAATCCAGTTATCAGCATCATGTCGCGGGGAATAGAGATGCTGCTTCTACTTCTCATCGTGGCCCTCTGGCTGGGTCGCAGTGGGGCGTACAGTGTGCCCAAGGCCACCGTCAAGGTCAACTCGCCAAAGGGCTTCGAGGTCTCCATTCCGGACGAGCCTGGAATCACACTCTTCGCCTTCCACGGAAAGGTCAACGCGGAAATGGACGATCTCTCGGATCAGACCTGGGCCACCGACATCGTCACATCTCGCAACGGACGCTGGACGTACCACAACCGCAGCCACAAACTGCAGCAAGGAGATGTGCTCTACTACTGGACGACGGCGCGGTACCATGGCGTGGACTACCACAACTACAACCAACGGTATGTGGTCGGAGGAGGTCAAGGAGCGAACACGCAGCGCATCGATGCGCGAGGTTCAGGCGGTGGCCATCAGCCGATTGTAGTCAATGGCCAGCCGACTATCAATATATATGTGGCATAAATTAAATAAAAAAAGCGAATATAGTGCTTTATTATTCAGAGAACTTATAAATGTATTTTCAGTGATAGATTCAGATGAAGATTTAAAGAGGTTCTTAGAGATTTAATTGATGCGATGCCTCTCTCAGAGACTTACACTTGGCAGAATAATATATCAATATCCATCTATTTCTCTATTTATGGATAGTATATGCTGGATTCTGTTTGGCGGATGTCATTGGCGCGCGTCAAACGCGATACGCAGTTGCATTGTTTTATTTTCATACCGTTTTCATCTCAAATGGCCATAAATCAAAGAAGCACTTTGTCACAGATATAGAAGCAAGTATCCGGATCGTATAAATCATTTTGGAATCCTACCACTCTCTGCACTCCACTCCAGACATGTGTCACCCAAAAAAGTGCCACAAAAACACAAACAGCACCAAAGAAACTATTCTCAAAGATGCGTATCGTATCGCAACTTTTCTCCTCCTACAAACTTCATATAAGGTTACTTCTGGGCACAATTACGTTCTCTTGAGACCACAACACAAAGACCAGATATGAGTTAAAGTTTTGAAACAACACCTCCATTTCTTCAGACTATAGGACTATAGTTCTATAGGATATGGGTGGTAAGTGGTAGTTTCTTCATATGTACATATGTATGCTCCAAACTGTTCCAAAATGATCCAAAAAACCATTGTCTTGGTTTTTGTACGACTAAGGAGCATTAAGGCTGTTTTAAGGATACTCTCTGAAGCGCTTCTGTTGAGGCCTGCTTCGTGTTACATCTCTGCCTTCGCATTGCTTTTGACCTGAGCCGCTGACCGCTTTCAACGCCTGAACGTCGAGATTAAACAGAACAGAACAGAACTTCTGTAGGAATATTAAACAATGTTCTTGTCCATTTGTCAGTACTCATTTTATGCAATTTAAGAATCATTTATGGCAACAAAAAATGCACGACGGATTCGTTGCACTTTTTCAGTGCATACACATATGTATCTGCCACACATATTACATGCATACATATGCACACATATACGTATATATGTATGTACATATACGAAATATGTATATTTCTAGATTCTCTGGAATGGAGGCAGCGAACAAGCGAACAGCAAGTGACGCTGTCAGCAACATTTGCGAGGCTGCTACCTCTCCGTGCTGCCTCTCATTTTCTCATTTCGTTTCGCAGCAGAATTCTAGCTGGCGGCAAGTTTGTGGCAGTTTCTGTTGTGGCACTTGAACCATGTCACACCCGCACATACACGCAGACATTGGCCACCATTTTTCACGTTGCAGGCACAAAAATGACTTGTGACGACAACTTTATGAGGCACTGAGAAAACTGAAAAAAAAAATCAACTGCACATGCCCCATATACCACATCCATATGTACAAACGATATATACTTTTATGTGAACTTAAACTTTTGACGCTTGCTGCAATAAAGAAATATTTAAATTTCCATTTTTACGACTACTCCCCCCAATAACACTTATAGTTTGTTTTTTGAGGGCCATTTCTACAATTCTAAGCCATTTGGGATGCAAAATGACAAGGAAAACTGCGGCAAATGAATTAGTATATAAAGTTTATACTCCATTAATGCTGAAAATAAATGGAGCCAATAAACGTCTACAGTTTTATGAAGTGGATTGGATATTAATTTTTATAACAGGTTGAGTTCCACTGAAAATCTATGGGATCTATTGGAGAAAGCAACAACAAAATTGAAAAAAAAAAAATCAGTCTATTTTCTATTTCCGCTAAACCTAAGCGGAGGTGCATCAATGTGTCAAATGGTTTGTCATTTATTATTATTATAGGGGAGGTTCAACCGATAAAAAGTAAAACATATATTGGAAATAAATAGGAACAACTTGAATGGTATTTTTTAAGATTCAAAAGTAGAACTACAGCAAAATTTAGTAAAAATAAGTATAATCTTTACTATTCCTATGTTCACGTTTATAAAAAATTATGTATTCTAAAGATTTTATTCTATTTTTCTGGCATATTTGTGAGATTAATTAAGATAATAATGATCTCTAAATGGTCCTCCTGTATTTAGGCCGTTATATAATCCCCCGCCAACCGATGAACCGTCAAAGGGCCCTTCCGTGTGGCCATCGCTTCCAATGGGTCCTCCTCCCGTATGTGTTCCGCTTATGAGGTCCGAGTTTTGGCTCTTACTCCCAAAAGGTCCGCCCGTGTGGCTGCCAATTATCAAGCCGCCGCTCTTCTGTGCGTTTTGGAAGGGTCCGCCACTCGTACCCCCCGAAATCAGTGCAGCATCCAGGTTATTTGTGGCAAAGGGACCGCCGGTCTTAGTTCCACTGATCAAACTATTTCCGGACTGATAATCACCATAGCTGCCTCTATAAGTGGGGCTTGCCAGAGTCGAGGCTAAAGCCAGCAGCATCACAACAGCGACAACCGGTCCCATCTTGATCTCTAGAAATACGCGACTGATGAGCGAGCGAATATGTCATCGATGAGACGAATCTCTTATCAGAAATACTTGAACAACAAAGCCCCTGGCGAAGCTTTTTCGATCGGAGAATGAGCAAACCTGTCCCCCATTGAGCTTTAAGCTTGACAAAGTGAACTTTGAAGCCCGTATCGGGGATGGGACCTCCACCCATAAATTGCCATCAAAATAACCAAAAAGAAAGTGTAACTTTTGCCATGAATATAAATACGTGTCCGGACACGTTCCGGACGCTGGAACTATCCCAAGAACCCGCGGGCGGGTATCCTCTAATAGCTAAAATATGAAGCCTGAACTCTGGTTGGGGTACGCGTTTTTGAAGGAAGGAATTCGCCGCCGAGCTGCAAATTAATTATAAAAGATTCCGCTGCCAGAAAGTTAAATATTTTTGCCTCAACTTCAGCTTCAAAGTGTGGGCGTGTAGGGGCGGAAAATAAGTTGCCAGCAACTTGACGCACATTTGTCACATGCCACCGTGAAAAGGGGTTCCTTCTACAGGTGTCTTGCCACACACCCTCCCCTTTCTTGCTCTCTTGTGCTCTTGGCTGCCGCTGATATATGGCTCTTTAAAATTAGTCCAAGTGCAGAATGTCTGAACGGTGTAAAAAATGGCAAGAAATTGCGAAAAATTGAGAATAATTGTAGAACTTTGTCAGGCTCTTGTCGATGTTGTTGGGAGGGTTGGGTTGGGGCCTTACGCTTTGAACTTTGAAGTTAATCGAAAATCACTTCATCTAAAGGTTTGATAGAGTTTTGGGAATAAGCATTCTTAGAAATAAAACTTTTACTCGAATCACCCTATGTACATATGTATGTACATATGTACCCATGCGTTGTATATCAGAAAGGGGGTTTCTTCGTTGGATAATGATAATATGTGATAATATTCATATTCACATACAAATTACAACCAAAAAAGGACATACAAAATCTAAAAAAAATTGGTATTTAGGATCAGTTTTGGCTAAGCTATGAGGTTTTATGGGATCCTCTTCCACTCCTTCCAAAAAGTACCTACAGGAGCACTATTTCTTTTTGGACCCGAATGAATGTATTCTAATTAATTAAGTGTTCAGTTACCTTATCATAACCATAATCATAAGAACATTAAAGCGATTTTATTTTATTTAATTTCTTCTAATTACGAAAGATTGATAGAAGATGTATAGTAATCTGCGTTGTTATGTAATTAACCATAAGACATCCCTCCATTACCACCGAAAGTAATAAGTGCACAGATTTGTGTATAGCTCAAAATACATTTAAGCAAATCAAAATGTTTGGTCCTCATGTTTCTGTGTATGTTTCCCAGATACACTGAACAAAATATATAATATTTGATGCCAATTAAAATTTAAATAACATTCATATAGCCCGAAAATTCAGAAAGACTCGGGTCATGTATCAATGCGTCATGCACAGGACATGTAAGCTGTATCCATCTCGGTCATTTTCTGTGCAGCTCGAGTCGAGAACATATCGATGTGCCGCGTCATGTTGGAGCAATGATTTCCTGAGTAGTAATGCAATTTTATTTTATTGTAGGAACGATTTCCCCCCCTTTTTCCTTGCTGTGTAGCACCTTTATGGGGTGGGGTGCTGGGGCTGTGTACTCAATTAGCATTAATGAATCCTCTAGCAGGATAATGCCTGTACAGGGTAGAGAGTGTAGTAGAGTGGCGAGTGTAATTTGTGCAGCTCACCTGGATAATTGAATTAATGGCGCTCTGCCACTGTTGCCACTGCTGCTTCAAGTTGTTGTTTGCTTATTAAGCTAATTGTCTTTATTAAGGCTACCTGCTTTGCTTTGCTTCCTTTGTGACGGTCCGAGAGTCGATTGCAGGCACTCTTAGACACGAGTTTCTTGACATTCTCAATTGATCAAATGCATTTTCCATGTTCTCCACCAACGACGGCAGCAATGGCTCACGTCGCAAGTCTACAGCGGCAACACAGTGGCATCGTCGTTCTGCATTCCAAAATCACACAACACATTTTCCAAATGCGAAAGTGCAGTCAAAGTCGTGCAATATGCAGTGCCCCCCAGTAACCTGCCACCAAAAACGCCACACCATACCCCACCACACCCTACTCAGCAGCTACTCCATCACTCCCCATTACGACACCCTATTCCATCCCCCATTCGGCTCTACTCTCCGCTGATCATCCATTTAACAGACCTGGCGTTGGTATATACGGGCAAAGAGTATTACGACTATGTACAGATGTTTGTTTCCATTTATTCAAAATTCTTAGTTGTTTTGTTTTCCGGCAGAAATTTTTTACAGATTGAAACCTTCAAGATCGGAGCACCATACCATATATTTTCCAAGGATAAGAACAATACAAAAATTTTCTTTGAGATCTACATCTTTGTTTGTAATATAAACTCAACATTAGATTATTATACAAATATTGGCAACATTTTATTCGAATCGGATTACTTGTCAATGGAATAATTTTTCTTTGAAGGTAAAAACGTGTTTTATTCTTCAAACAATAACCAAACATTGCTAATAACAGTTGTTCAACATATTTTTTGATCATATATCATATATGTATCTTCCATAGAAACGATCGTTTTTATAGGGTATCTTCAGCGTTGGTCGACGTTCGTCGCAATTCCTCACTCCCTCTCTTTTGCCTTTTTTATTCTTGTGCAGTCAGCCGTTGATAGAGACATTGCAAAAACAGAGAATAGCAAAGAGAGAGAGAGAGGGAGGGAGAGGTGTACTGTGGCAAAGAGAGGTAGAGAGCGCGCGCGACAGAGAGCAAACTCCTCTCATGCTAGTATTTTCTAACAGTGCTTTACGCTTTGTCTGCCAGCAGTCGCCAGTGCTGCTGCTGCTGCTGCAATTGTTGTTGTTGTTATATTTAGCATCGCATCGCAGACGCAATTTATATAAAGTTTAATTGATTGGAAAATCAAATTGATTCGATTCGATTCGCTCAGCAAAAGCAACAATAAAACGAGCAGCCACAGACACGCAAAGATATTACCCATAAACCCCATGTCCAGACCAGGTTATGCTCTCTGCGACTGCAAACAAAATTTGAGCGTCAAAGTCGTTTATCTTGGACAGTATTCCAATTCAGTACGGAACATGAACTACCTCGAAGCTGGATACATGGCAAGATAAAGATGAAAAAGAGAGTTGAGGGATCAGGAATAGCTGCTTAAGGTAATAGTGTATCTTCTTTGTAGGGAGTCAAACCAAAAGGCAAGTATTCTAGCGAACAATGAACGAGTAGCCAAACAAACAGCGAGAAATCATATATGTACATATATATGGTGTAAACGGTAGACATTAATTAAGATAAGTGAAACCAAAGAAAATGGATTTAAACAAGACAATTATTATCATTCTAACGAGTATTCCACGAGTATATGTATTTAAATAAATTATTCGCACAAATTATTACAACGAGTTCTTCAAACGAACATTAAATATAACGAGTATAAGTAACGAGCTCATGCTAAATCCTCAAGTGATAGTGGAAATATACAAGCCAGAAACTAGAAAAGTCACCCTGCCAACTTGTAGTTAACTAACAACGAGAATGCAAACAAGTGCAAGCGAGTAGGTAATCAGGTAACGAGTTAATGCATTTACATACATTAAGCCCCCACCGCACCGCACCACACCAACAAACCCTCTCCAAGCGGACTAACTTTAAGCCATTGCATTTTATAACCACTTTAGTTTTAACTCGCTCTCGTATTTTCACAATTGTTTTATTCCACGAGTGTTATCTAGCTAACGGAGTTGAATAAACTGCTGCCCAACACAAACCATCCACATCCACATGCGTCCCCGCACTCTATAAATCCCCCACTCAACCGGAGAGGCAGGCAACAACAATGCACATCTGTCATTAACAAACAGCGCAATACCTGTTTAATTTTTATTGTGAAACTTGCCACAGAGAGAGAGAGAGAGAGAGCTTAACTTTTCTCAATCTCTTCTCCCACCCAATGCGGCACCCACTCATCGTCGTTGAGGCCAATGTCAATGGCCGAGGGGCGAATCGGGCAGAACGATATGTTTAATGGCAAAAGCAATAGAAAAACTTTTGCGGATAGCAAAGCAATTCAATTGAAAATAATTAGAAACGTAGCCAGCCACATGGCGAAACTTCTTAATTGCCCGACTATTGTGCGTCGGATGGCGAATGCGAATAGAGTATGCCAGTATGAGGGGGTTCTCCGAGAGTGGAGTACGAAAGACAGCAAATTGCATTATGCATAAGCCGACTACGACAGAGACCGACCCAGCACGTATCCATTGAAAGAGCGAGAGATGGACAGACAAATCCAAAAGATAGACGCACAGAGAGCCAAATAGAGAGATAGAGAGAGAGAGAGAGAGAGAGAGAGAGAGAGAGCAATGAAAATACATATATGTAAGTACATACGAGTATATATAATCCACGCTGATATTTTGAAGCTCAATCATTTTGAACTCTTCGCCCTGACCATGTGCCACCGTCGTCTGCATATTCTATTGCTCTTGCTGTGCCTCTTCAGCTTTGCTTTGCTCAGCGGTAAGTCTGATTTTAGATCTATAGATTCTTGCATTACGTGGCATTCACTTTTCCAGTGAATGGCTTGCCCTGGGGGGGACCCTCGTCGAACCATCATGCAGCCAGTGGAGGACCCGCCTGGAATGGCGGCAATGAGGAGGACCCCCGCAACATCGTCCTCCACGCGAACGGCAACGGCAAGGCCAACTATGGCAGCCAAGGCACTATTCTCCACAAGTGGCGTTACTGATCGACTCGGGGGCAGAAGTTTTCTAAGAACTAAACTCATTTAAGACACAAATTCAATGTATGATCAAATAAATAAATAGAAGTATATCTTTACCTCCAAATGATATGATTGTAATTAATGGACGATCTTTGACGGGTTTCACTGACCCAACTATCTTCAGACTCGCTGAGTGGCCATATACTATATGATTCCATTAACTGATAAGCTCCTTAGAGATTCAGCGATGATCCCAAAGAACCTAGAATCTTTCTGGTGATTTGTAAAGTGGGAATTTTTGAAAAAACCCCACACATAATCGTACCTCAAATGAGGCACGTAGAGTTGCCAATAACTAAGAAATAAATTATGTCTAGTAAACTCAATCGTTTGGCACGCTTCGCTCTAGCATTTTGGGGACTTGGTGACTCACGAAGGCGGCCCGGCACCGATCGCAACCGCAAGTCGTGTAGAAGTAAAATAGCAAAACAAACAAACAATCGCGCGCGTCTCTGGCAATTCCCGGTACCAGTGATTGCACCGCTGACCTCCCCACCAGTCCTATCTTTTCATCCGTCCGTTCAGACTATACTCTATACCCTATACCCCATACTGAGTGCAGCGGGAACGAGTATACAGAGCGACGATAATGTATAAATAGCTGTCACTCGACTTGCCATTGAAACAGTCGATGCAAAATGGGCTTGGGTAGAACTTTGATTATATTGGGGCTAATTGGCAGCGTCGTCGCTTGTCTGGCTAGCGGTAAGTCATCTGCGTAGTTCTTAATCTTCTCGCTGATGAACACTCTCTTCCACCACAGCTATGCCCCAAGGGACGGGCTCTGATGACCAGAAGATACTACGGAGCCAGGGAAGCACCTTCCTTTCCAACGGTGCGGGACAGATCATACGGGGAGCCGATGGGAAGACCATTTTGATCGGATCCGATGGCCGTAGGATTATAGCAGATACCTCCATCTCGGAGGAGGATGCCTCCCAGGACGATGATAGCTTCCTCGTCCAGAATAATGGTGGATCCAGCATCTCATCAAACGACAACAACATCTTCATCAATGGCGGGCAGTCCAACATCATCACGAGCAATGGCAAGACCCTCCAATACGGTACGGGAAACATCAACTACAGTGGCTATAATGGACACTCGATCAACGTGGTCAATGGCGTCATCACGCTGAGGGAGGGCGGCAAGCAGTACACGTTCGAGGCACAGCCGCCCAACGTCGAGAAGAGGGAGGCGATTGTCATCAACGGCCAGCCAGCCACAGTGCAGTACTCCCACGGCGATGTCATTGTAGAGCTAGCCGATCAAACGGTGATTGCCATTGTTGGTAACACCTCCTTCATTGGCGATCGCACATCCTTTGAGAATCGGGACAAGCTGCAAGCGGAGGCCAAAACGTATGCCGAGAACATCCAGCGGCAAGTGCAAGAAGGCCTAAAGAAATCGCTCCAGCAGATGAACGAGGATCTCCAAAAGAGTCTGGGGAACATTCGCTTCTAGGCGAGTGAGGCAAAGCATCTAAACAAAAAACCCTGTAATGAAGCTTGACGACCAATAAATCTATATCTTTGTTACACAAATGGGATTTCTGATCGTTTGATTGATTTATTTTCTTGATATTAAGAAATTATTGGCCCCATTTTCCCCTATTGCAGAGAAATAGACGGACAGACGGACAGAGTTCGGAGATGCTTCATTCTGTGTATTAAAAACCACAGTCCAATCAAATCCAGGGTGCAAAATGAAAGAGTATAGACTTCTTTGTATATTGCAACAATGTTAAAGACACTCGCCTGACAACAGCCCATCAAAATCTCACCGATTCGCCACGCATCGCTCTTCCCAAAACGACTGCTTTGGTGTCGTATATATATAGAGCGACGACCATGGAGTATAAATAGCTGGAACTCGACCTGGCATTGAAATAGTCGCTGCGAAATGGGCTTGGGTAGAACTTGGATAATACTGGGGCTGATTGGGAGCATCGCCTGTCTGAGTAACGGTAAGGTATCTACCCTTTGATGAGGATTATCCAAGGAATATCTTTCTCTCTGCCACCACAGCTGAGCCTCGATTGCTCGGCTCCGAAGAGGATGCCTCACTGGACGACGATAACCTGAGCTTCCTCAACAGCAAAAGCCAGAAGTTCGCCTCCTCCGCGACTACGATTATCGAAAACGACCACACCTTAATATACGGTTCGGGCGATAACAACAAAATCACCTACAATGGGCACAGATTCGTTGTAGACCATGGTATCATTAAGCTGTTTGAAGGCTCCAAAACGTACACGTTCCGACCCCTTGGAGCCAATGTGGAGAAGAGGCAATCGATCGACTTTAACGGTCGCCCAGCCACAGTGCAGCTCTCAAACGGCAATGTGTTTGTTTATCTCCCCGATGGAACGGTGATGGGCAGGATCGGCAATAGTTACTTTGTGGGAGACCGCTATGCTGTGGAGAACCGCGACAGGATGATACGCAATAGCAATCTCTAGATTATACTGGGTAGCAAAATGCATTCAACAAAAGTGACTCAAATAAAGTTTATTGACGAGCTAAAACATTTGTCTTGCTTTCCGTGGCCACGACTCGAGCCATAAAAATGCTAAATATTTACTTTGAAAAAACAAATGGGTTTTTTCGCTGAGAGGGAGGTGTCACCATTTACTGGTATCCCCAGCTGATCCCCCGTTCAAATGCTATGCAAATTTCCCAGAGCTTAACAATAATCTGTCTACTAGTCGCAAAATAATTCCATTGTCATAATTCCGTGTGTGGGAGTCGCTTACTCGGGAATCGGCGCACAGCTTAGGTGTGATTGATTAGCAGAAATTCTGTGAATGATGCGCCGCGGCTTAATTGCGGAATTATTGAAGTACAGCTTTGAAATGGGCGCGGGACAGTGTATCGATGTTATCGATTGTGCCTCGATGTATTTGCAGCCCTACTGTTGTCTTTGCATGAACAACAAAGCAGCAATTTATGATGCAATAACCCTAAGACTTTCCTCATATATGTATTTTCTTTAATTTCGTATATATTTTAATGAATTTATTTAATTTTTTGACGCGTTCATCTCTAGTACAACTACAGCAAAAAAATACGTTATCGAAGGTCTTTCGCGGAACGATATACAACACTGGGCAGGCGCACATCTGACATCTGGTCACACTTTGCCCTAAATTTCTGGTTTATTTTTGTGCACAAACTTTTGAATGTCAGAACAGCCCAACATGTGCTTTTCTCTGACCATCGACCAATTGTCCACTTGGCGCAAGCAGTTCTACAACGAACCACGGAATCTTCTCGCCCAGAATGTGTGCACGACCCACGATCCTCTGAGGATGTGCCTGCCTATTTTGCCCAACGTGGTGGCGGGTCCGCCTAACAAGCATGGAGTGGACTCGGAGGGAAAAACCACCAGCGGTGGCCCCGCCTGGATCACCACGGGGCTTGACCTGCTGCGCCTGGAGTTTGCCAAGAGCTTCCCATCGCTGCCGGTGGACTTCGAGTTCTCTGCGGGCTACCTGGTGTACTGGCACAAGCTGGAGCGATGCAACTACTTGCTGCATGCGGTGGCCGATCATCTGATGCGCGGCGAGCCCGTGGATGGGCGACAATTTCGATACTTGATGAAGCATGTCGTTCCGGATGGCGGGAACTGGCAGATGTTTGTGAATCTGGTGAAGAAGTACGGCGTTATACCCAAACAGTGCTATCAGACAACGGGGCGCACACGCCAGCTTAATGTAATCCTCAGGAGTAAGGTAAGTATATGCCCGGATAGGTATCCAATAAGCCACAGCTCCCATCGTTTCCCTCAGCTGCGTGAGTTTGTGAGCGTGCTGCACAATCGTTTCATATTCGATGGCGATGGCAGCGCCCTGCCAACCCTCATCGGGGAGATGATGCCCCAGCTGTATAAAGTGATCAATATCGTTTTGGGCGAACCGCCGCAGGAGTTCAAGTGGACGTACTACGACTCAAAGAAGCGTTACCAGTGCCTGGAGCCCTTGACCGGCTCCACCTTTTTCAAGGTACTGGTGAGCAAGGACTTCGACCTGGATGAGATGGTGTGCCTGGGCCACGATCCGCGCCTGTCATCCAGCTACTTGCACAACTACGAAGTGGCTCTCAGCTCGAACATGGTGGGTGGTCAGTTGCAGCGGTACAACAATCAGTCAATGGACGTTCTAGTACCGATCATTGTGGGGTCGCTGGTTGGCGGCAAGGCTGTCTGGCTGGTCTATGACCTGCTGGCGCACTCTTCAAAGAAAGCATCTGCTGACTTTCCGCTGCTCTTTGGCTTGGAGATGTGCACACAGCTCAACAAGGCAGAACGCATGCTCTACAAGGAAACGCGCCATAATCGGGTGTTGCTGCTAACGGAAGTACGCCTGGATGACGAGGAGAAGCCGCTGGAATTCCGCACCATTGCTCCGTCGACCTCGACCACGTTGTTTCCAAGCTCATCCGCAGCAAATCTCCGAGAGATCAACCATAGTGTGGAAGAGAAGGCCAAGATTCCAAGGCCTAAGACACCCTTTTGCATTAAGACGGATTGGATGCGGGAATACGCCTTCGAGATTGTCGTACACTCGAGCTTTGTGCCGCCCGATGTCCTGGGTGCCGCCACTAGGAAGGAGTGCAAAAAACTGCCCCCATGGGATATCATGGGAGCGTTCCTCGATTGATTAATCCTTGTTTCAATAAACCCCACAATCACATCATATCCATGGGTTTCAATATCGTTATTTGATCCCTATAGTTGAAGCCATAGCGAGAGCCAATGTAGATGCGCTTGGGATTCTTCGTTCTGGCTATCAGAAATTCATCATCCTCCATGACCTCTGAGGGCAGCACGAGGATCACACTGCTCCAGAGTGGCCATTTCGTTGTAGAACTCGATCTGTTTCTTCTGCTTAGATCGCCGAAAGTAGAATTTATAGGGGTTTCCCTTTGCTTTGGTTATCTCAATCCCATTCTTGATTGCGCACACTTTGTAGTCCTTGTACTGAGCGCATTTATCAATGTTCCCTCTCATGTAGGCAGCTGCATGAAATTCGAAGGGAGTATCGTTATCCGGATGTTCGTCCGTTGCGCTGGAAGTAGAATATCTATCACTTTCAATGTCTATTGGATAGTCCACTTCAGCCACGCCATTCGCTATGAGACCCAAAAGTATTAGAAGGCACCAGTTTCCCATTTTTTCTTGCGACAGTCTCAGTTTCCCGATAGGATGGAAGTGTGTCAAGATCTGTCAAGGGATGTTCGAGCAGAGCTTTAAGCGTATCGAATGGATTCCATTCGCCAGTACATTATTACTGTGGCGCATCGAATGGATGGCTCTTAAAGTGGTTCGTGTATTCGTTTCCTGTATTCATGTTGCTTATCGCAAAATTATTTAAAAATCCCACAGCGTTGTCGTCACCGAGGCGCGACCTTCACTAAGTTTTTCAGAGAATCGACCTTACGTGCCTGGCATGCCTAATTAGGCATTAGAGGGGGCTTCCACTGCCACTGTCCCACTCCTGGGGCCTCTCGAGTAGCCAGCAAGTCGGCAAGACTTAAGGGATTTGCGCCCCCGTGAATTTAGTTTTGACTTTGCATAAAATAGAAACAACAACAGCGTTTATATTCGACTTAAATGTAACTTTATTTTTGCCATTAAATGTACCACAATTTAGTACTGCCTGATGCCGTAGTAGGGATTGCTGTATCCGTAACTGGGATAGCCATGCCTCGGCACCGCAACAGGCTGATAGACAATCGGCTGTACCACAACGGGCTTCGAGAGCAGATATTTCAGCAGATGACGAGGCTCACGTACGAGAGAATCGACCTGGTCCGCTGTTGTCGCTGGCGCTGCGGATCGGGAAATCGCATTAGCATGGTCGCCAGCATCTGGCAGATCAGGATGTGCGCTGTGGACACCAGGAAATGCCACCACCATCACGATGGTGAGGCTGCTGAGCAGGAGAAAGCCAACGAACTTCATCTTCAACGATCTGTAAGCGAGTGAATTGATTGAGGATCAATCATAGCCTTATATACACAATATATTGGACTGGTCAGGTAGTCGATCCTTAGCAGGTGGTGCTGCTTTCTACCTGTTCTGATCCCCGAACAGCTGCAGGGGATTATCCTACAGAACCTTCTCAGAAACAGAATGCAATGGATTTGATTTTTGGAATGCTTGAAACAGTTTTATTGCTCGCTTGGTTTTTCTTTGCTTCGATGTGGTTCCCATTGACATACCCAAACGCCCAACTATATGCCTATATCCGTATATATCCGTAGACCCTTACATCTGTGGTGGTGCTGGCATGCCTTCGGGTGGTGGAGGAAGACCGGGTGGAGCCTGACGGCGTTGCTGAAGGCAGAAGTCCACACAGATTAAAGAACGGGATCAAATCGAATATACATTATGTACTTACTCTGAATTCCTTGGGTGGTGGTGGCTCCTCATTGGCCACGGCGCGACGGGACTGGAATGACATAGATTGATGGATAAATCCTGCGTAGGATCAATAGTTCAATCTGTGGCTTACCCTGAAATGCTTGGGTGGCGGTGGCGGCTCCTCATTGGCGACCATCGATGACTCGTTGTTCAGGTCGCGGGCATGGCGCCCTGCCTAGAAGGAGGCATTTAACAAAACGTTGTATTAACAGGGCTAAATTGGCAACACGCCGCCATTGCTGTGCCTTCTGCGGATCAAGTTTCTCCATCTGCTCCATATCTTCCGGCGTCTCTTTTGGGGCCAAGAACTCTTAAGATACGTCCTCCCAATTTGCTTAGCCATTCGCACTTACCCTCTGAAACAGACCCGTGAGTTTCGGTTCCTGCGAAAAGGATTAACCAAAATAGTCACTACAAATCATCCCGTGACAGGACTATCCCCCACTCACCTCGACACCGTTGGTGGAGCCACTACCACGTCCCTCAGCGCCAAAGAGCATCAAAGCCACAACGTAAATAACCAAAACAGCACAAAATAGCTTCATTTCCGAGCTGTCACGTTCCCGACGGTCACAATAAAAGATGCCAAGCCAAAAGATGCTACGGAGAACGTCGACTGTACTAAAGTCGGGTCCGAATAGGTGGCTTATATATGCTGCCCCATGGAGATGGGGGAGGAGAAGGGGCTATGTAATTGGCTTGTTCGAAATTATTATCCGAAATCTTGTCATATGGCAAGTTAGCTGCGATTGCTGCGATTGTCGAAAACATGTTGATTGGCTTTTAAATCATAGTTATTAGCAGATATATCTTGTAGATAAATGGAACATTGCAGTTCCAGCTTGGGGGACGTGGGATTTTTGATAGAATTGCATGTGCATAATAGATTTTTTCCATCAGAGATACCACAGTGTTTTAGGAGTATTCTCATTCGAGAAGGTTATTACTTCTAAATAAAGATTGTTTCTGACACGAAACCTTTCACCTTTCTTAACGCGTATCGCATCGTTCAGCATGGCTTTGCCACAGCAAATAAGTTTTATAGCTGCAATCTCCGTGTTCTATTACACAACAAAATACCGTCATTGGCTTACCCTTCTTCTTCCGTTGGACAAATGATTCCATCCAAGGTGGCGGCGGTGCTCTTCTTGTGCTATTTTTCATTATTTCCGCTCCTGAGCGCCACAGCGCGTCTACGTTTGCTCCGAGCTTTGCATAATTTCGAAATTATAACGCGCTTTGATGTTGTCGCCGACGCGCGAGGACTCGTCTGGGAGGCAGAACGACATCCTCGGCTACGTCCAAGTCAAATACAGCAGCGGGACGACAGAACAGCCAGAACAGCGCCAGCGGAAGACAAAGGAAAGTGTAAATGAAAATGGAAGTATGTACATACATATAGCTCTACCGATACCCTTCAAGATAGATCTTTGGACATGGCAGGTATAGTCAGTCTCTTTGGATCAGAGATCACAAAAAGTAAGTTTAAAAAAATTAATTTCGGAAATAAGTGATACAAAAAATACAGCGTCGTTTTTATCAAGCGGTTTTTTAGAACAGGATAATTTAAATTAATAAATTTTAAACACAAATGTAGTACAATTAAAATGTAAAATAAGGGTTATTTCTGATTTTAACAATACTTATCAAAAATCAATTTTTAAAGATATACAAATTATTTAAAGAAATTTATTTTTAATTGTCGTTTTTATTTTATATCATTTAAACATTAGAATTAGTTCATTTGTTTTTATTTCACAATTTTTTAAATTTAACTTAATATTAAAATCTTTACCGCTTTTTGTGATCATTGTGATATGGGATATTATATGAAATGGTAATCCAATCTAATAATTTTAAATGTTCGATTACTACCAGCAGCTAAAAGGACGATCTGGGATTCGTTTCCTTAACAAGCGAGAACTAGTTTTCAAAGAAACACCAATCTTTGCTTGAGAAAAATATATATATTATATATATATTTAAGTGACAAACATCTGGTTGAAATCGTATTACCCTAGGGAAGTGTGTAGAAATAAATAAGCGCACTTTTTTCTCATTTCCGTTGCTTACTTTGACGTGTTTAGTTTTTGATGTGTACATTCTCGCACGCAGAGAAGACAGTGGGGGATATTGTGCAGGGGGGCTATGGGAGGGGTGTGGGTAGTGGAGCAAAGGAGAGAGAGGGACGAGGAAAATGCTTAAATTCGTCATTCGACAATCCGGACAGCGTGAGGCTCCTCCTCAGGGCTCCTTTCCTGAGATGATGTCTTACCCTCTCTCTCTCTCTCTCTATCTCTCTCTGTCGCTCTTCCACTGTCCGCGTCCCTGTCTCTGTCGCCGGGCGGCATCCTCTTTTTGTCTGTATGCGAAACTTTTCTCATTAGAAAACTTTTACTATTTCCGCTACTCAACGCCAAACGCAAACAACAAACGACAAAAATGGGGAAATACATAAAAAACACCATTCGGATAAAAGACAGAAATGCGTAAATGTGTTGTAAATAAAATGTTTGATGCGCCCAAAGCACCCGGCATTCCATTCCTTAAGGCAACTGCATTTTTATATAGTACATAGAGTGCAAAGCTTCCTTTCGCTACTCGAACTCTCATATGACATCTGAATATACACCTACAACTGCCTCACTGAATCCATCTTTGGGCGAGAAGAGTGTTGAGGTCGTGGAGAGTTATTTTTCCTTGATCTCCTCTTGATCCTACAGGAATCTTCTTTCTGTGGCATACATATCCATACTTTTGGGTAGCAAAAGTACTGAAACAAAGAGACCATCTTTGCTCAAATAAATCTGCCTAGATCGATCCTATTATCTATTCTCAATAAAGGCCACAAAAAACATCTTTCAGGCCAGATATACATATATGTCCATACATATATATTCTGTGAAGCAGCAAAAATAATTAAATCAAAACCCTTGGGCAGCACCAGGAAAAAAATCTCCCGAAGGAATATATCCTGCGGCAAACGTTCTCCTCGTGTTCTTTAGACAACAAATGTAGGACAAAACAACAGACCCAACAAAGGGCGGCTCATAAAAATGTCTTTTATTAAATTTTCCTCTGCAAAATCAATAAATCAGAACAGCGCGGAATACAGCTTACCTCAGTTTCAATTCAATTCAATCAGATTTTCTTATTTGATTTTAACTTTACCTCCTACGACTCTGTCTGTAAGTCGGAGAACTCCCTTCCTGCCGCCTGAGTGCCGGCGCCCTGCCACTTCTTCCTGTTTCCTGCGCTTGCAGCGCACTTCCTTCGAGTACCTAGAATTTGCTCTAATTTGATTTTGAACGGCAGGCAGCTTCTCTGCGATTTGCCGCGCTGTCATCTGTCAGCGCGTTTTGAGTCGCAAATATTGATTTCACACCCAAAAGGCAAGTGATTTCCTATAGGTGAAAGGTGATGTTCAGATGGTTGTCTTTAGCTCTGCCATTGTTGGTGCCACCAACAGTTTCTGTATTTTAAATCCACAAAAACACTCTCAACTTTAATCCTAGAGATCGCAAAGCTATGCGATATTTACTCTACTGTTGATCTTATAAATTTAAACGTTATTATTCCACCTCCAAATAGGCTATTAAAGGCATTTAGTAATTCAGTGGCTGCACGCACCATTAGCGGCCCATAGATTCGCAAAAGCTGGTCATTTAATGCGGCATAAGTGGCAAGTGAAATTAATGCTCGGCTGTCCCAATTCCCAAAGTGCCTGCCTGGCCAGACCTTGCCTGGTCCGAGGCGAAGCCTTGCGCTAATGCAAAACATAAACCAGGGAATGGAACGCCTTAGTTGCATATCGATGCATATTCAACCATCGAACAGGGGATGCCCTCTTTCTCCGGCGCCTGTCAGCAATAAGTTCAATGGGCTACATCACGTCGCCGGGCAAACGAGAGCATCACGAACCGGATAATGATCAACGAACTGTATACGTTTCCGCAATCGTAGTCAAATGGACAAACATGCACACAAAGTGCACCGGCTGCTCCTGCTCCTGCTCCATCTCCTGCTGCAGCAGGTCCTGCTCCAGTTCCGACAACTGTTCCGACTAGGAGGTCCTTGCTGCTGTCACTTGGGACTCTCTGCATCGGAATGGGAATCGACGGTATCGAAGCGAAGGCCATGGGAGCTTTAGCTGTGGCCCAAGCAGCTTATGCCGCTTCACTGGCGATGCCAGCAGCCTGCCAACCATTCCCCACCCTCATCTCCATGGCCTCTCCATCGCCTCCCCGTTTGAATATTTTGCATTATTGATAAACTGCTTTCTCGTAGTCGTCATCGTTGTCGTGGCAAGAAATAAAGCAGCGGCAAAGAATATTTATGACACTAGGAACACAAAAATATGTACATCTATATGTAGGTACGAACGGGAGTGTATTCGCAGTCAACGGAGCGAACAGGAGCGACAGGCAGGACCGGCCCGGCCCAGCCGGGCACGCCCCAAAGCTCGAAACGTGTCGGGCATTAAGCGCTTGAACGTGTGTAACAGGCTTCTTCTACGACAGGACCCGGACCCTCTACGTACCTCCACAGGATAATATAATGGTACTTTTACAAACGTTTGCTAGGCAATACATGGCGATGGGACAAGGTTTGACTACAGTAGATCAGTTCTTGGCTATTTACTCATGGGAAAAGGCTTGGGAAAACCTTTGTTTTCTATTCACATACATACATCGAAATAGCATTATAAATCAGTTTATGCTATTAATAATACGGATAGTATGTATAGGAACCAGCTGTAAGTGGTAGAAAATAATTTCATCCTTAGGGCATACAAAATTCTCCATTATCCACTCCAAACTACGAGAAACTCTTGCCATTTTTGGCAATTTCTGATGGGTACCCTGCATAAAGGTGGGGAAACGGGCGATACAGGCGCCAATGAAGCGTTTAACTGTGGCGCAACCACTACGCAAAGCACGGAAATGCTGCAAAATTATAAAGGTACTACCGCAGTAGTGCGTGGTGTCGGTATCGGTATCGGCAGCCTCGCTAGTTCAAAAAGCATTTGGCCGACTACCTTTCCCTGCGTGGCTTTACCTACTGTGCCCCAGCATTCTCCGTTCTCACGCAGTCACTGCAAAAAATAGTCGGACGATGGAGGCTGTAATTGCATTTGCTTTGTTGTTGCTTACAAAAAGCATGCAGCCATAAAGAGGAGAAAGGCGAGAAAAAGTTAACGAACGGCAGCGTGCACCGCACAAAGGGCGAGAACGTACTGGAATGACATGAAAAACAAAGATATAGACGATACTTGGACACCTTTCTAAAAATGGAAACGATCTTTAAAAAGATACATATGTATATGTAAAAATATATGTATGTATATTATTTGTAATTTACAGATGCCGTTTCCATTCATCCTTCGACTATGATGTTTTTTATCGACTAGGCTAGTTTCTGTAGCTCTGACATCTACGAGCGCGACGATTGATCGACTGACTGTTAATCTTGATCAAAGAATGCCACATCCCCACAATATACCCATCTATATGACAATTACAGGGCATGGGTAAAACAGTCAAATGGGCGTGGTCGTGGGCATTGCGTCTGTCTGGTACGCACACATCACGTAGCGAAGTTGCCGCAACTAAAACTTCATCAATTTGCCTTGCGAAAGCTTGGCAACTTTTTGCCCCAATATATCTCTCTCTTTCTCTTTCGCTTTGTCTCTGTCTCTCTGCGGATGCGTCTGATGGGTGGTGCAGTAAGTATATCCACGCACACACACACACACACGTGCATGCAGCCCCCGACCAGTCGTCCACTGCATAAAGGACATTACATCCCATGGTTTGGTTTGAGCTTCATTTTGTGTAATTTTCAGAGACTCCTCCTGACTGCCCATCCATCGCTCCATTTGGCTATTAATGCCTCGCGTTTTATTTATGATTAATTACGGCGTTTAAAAGTCCATAAATTTTCTGTGGAAAAGTGCATTTTTTATTGACAAAAATAATTAAATACGTCACACCCATAATGAGAGCCTGCAACAGTCCCGGCATCCAGACACAGACACAAGATGAGTGCGTGCGGCACAACTCAATGAAATATGATTTTACATTAAAGAAATTTTCTTCCTTTGATTTAAATATCCATTGACTTGATTACATTACGGCAGGCTGCATAACAAGATTCATTTACCATCTGTATTTAAGGAAAAATTAAACATTTTACTACTCCTGGCACTGGAAGATATCGAATTTAAGGATAGATTGCATTGAGATTTAAAGCTCTGCTTTGATAAGCTTTTATTTATTACTTCTTTTTTATATGAAACCTCACATGCGAATGCTAATTCCTTTGACTGTCATATACGGAAACCACAAAGGCCCCATCGTCCTGACGATAACCCAGGCCATTGTACACCACATACGTCCAGAAGTACAGGGTATCGCCCAAATTGAGCACCGTCTCGCGATCCCGAAAGGTCCAACGTCCCCGCTTCGCTTTGGGTATATCGCGGGCCCACCGTCCCGCCTCCAGACCGTCGAACTCTTCGTTCACCTTGCCATGGAAGGCGAACAAAGAGATGCCCTCTGCATCTGGTATAGAGACCTCGAAACCCTTGGGGTAGAAAACCCGCACGCTGGCATCTGGTACCTCGTAGGCGTGGTCCGACCAAGCCAGCACCGATAGGAGAGCCAGACAGAACGTAAGACGAACCATTGAAACGGTACGGAGCGGAAGCGGGAGCGGTGTTATAGAATCGAAGCTTCCAACAGAACTGGGAATGGAACTGATATTGTGGCTGATCTGGTCTTTCCTCATCAATATTAAAGAGTGAGAGGGCAAAAGCTTTATTTTTTAATCATAATCATTCCCAAGTGGTCGCTGCTCTCAGCGATATTAGACAGTTGGCCATACCGAAACCATATTCACAAATATCCATTTCATCGGCGAACACGTAGCGACAGTTGGCCACGCTTTTGAGCCACGACTTCTCCTGGGCCTCCGTTTCCAGGTACTTCTCCATATGCAGCTCCCCCGAACCATCCATGATATTCATATCGAACAGCATGCAAGTGGCATAGCACTTAAAAGTCCGATCCAGATCTCTGCCTTCCAAGTTCTTTAGCCAGTTGTCAAGGAATGCTCTTTGCTCCTCCGGGGTTGTGAATTTTTGCCCTCGACATGGGTTAAATATTGCAGTATTACTCTGTGTAAAGAGAGGTAGGAGAAGAATACCAACGCAACGTATGGTATCATCGTTTCGAAGATTAACTTACGTGGGCATAACCATATAAAAGGAACACCGAAAGAAGCAACGATAGAAGTTGATCTGACATGTTTTCCACTCGAAATGTTGTTTGATGATACGGGTATATCAAATATCCTACGAGTACTTATAGCAAACAGCTCTCAACTGAATAATCTAATATATAATACAAATTACTCGTACTATTCTTCGTGTGGACAAAAGGTGAAATCTGATTTCCAATTATTCGAGTACTAATTGGGTTAAAAGATTCAGATACTCTTGATTGGCGGGCATCTATCCAGAACATTCAGCAGAATATTCCCCTCTCCCATTTCAAATGCCAATTTATACATTGAGCCCATAGTTTATTTCATTTTAATTTATTTAATACTTGCAGAGTGCTCAAGGATGATACTGTCCATCCTCCACCTCTCCATGCTCCGACTGGGCAGCTAGAGCCAGGCGCTGCGCCTCCTGCTGGGCTCCGATGGCCGCATGCTCTGCTGCGATGCGCTCGAAGTCACTCAGATGCTTCTGAGTGGCATGGGCCACAGCGGCGCTAGCGTGTGGGGCAGCTGCTTGAGACTGCAGGGGGGAATGGAATGGAAAACAAAGCTTCAGCACTATCCGCTCAGTGGCCATATGCACTATTATACACGAGCACTCACCGCTTGGCCGGGCGTGTGGCTTGCATGCTCTTGTGCAATGCGGTTATACGCGTCGAAGTGTCTGCGCTTGGCTGCCTTGACGGCGGCACTGTCCTCCAGCTTGTGGCTCAACTGAGGGTGGAAGCCGTTCTCATCGGCCACATACTGGACGGTGCGCACCTGGTTCTTGGGATCCACGTAGGAGAAAGCGCCGCGGATGACGCCCGAACCGTCGGACACCTCCGTATGCTGGCGATCCACATGGCCAGGCGCCCGTCCAGCCTGATAGCTAAACACGTACGGATTGGCCGGACTGTGGGTCTCGTGGTTGACAAGATGAGACACATCTGAGGCGACTCTGCTGGCACTCAGTGCGCATACGACCTTCGTGACAAAATCAAAAAGCAGGAAGAGTGGGCGCCCGTTAGGTCATTGTGGCTGAGGCAATCACTCCCACGACTTACCAAAATGATCATCAACTGCTTCATGGCCATGTCTCTTCTGAGTGTCTGTCTGCGTGTGCTAACGTGCCGCCTCTGTTGTTCAGCTTCGAACGGTAACTGAAACAGACTTGGCCAACATCTCTCGTTCGTTCCAGCAGTTCATCGTCGTGGATACCAGACCCAAAAACAGGTCTTTGCCTGACGCCACAGCTTTCCGAGCTGCGCCAAAGCTTCGCGATGATTCCGAAACTAGTTTTTAACATTATTGCATTCCCTAACAAGGTAAACTTTTTGACATTAAAACCGAATAAACAAATTAATTTTTGAATAAGTAGCATTTTTTGTTATTTGTTAGTCATCTTCATCTGAGCTTGAGAATCGATTTAGAGAGTTATATACGATATTAGAGGGATTTCTAGACACTTTACAGTGGCAACTATTTCATAACTTAGCCATAAGTACAGTGAGTACACAAGTATGTACAGTAGTAATAAAGCTTAAACCATTTCGGTCATCGTCTGGGCAATCCAATCGGTATACTCCGAGACTCTCGTATAGACGCCCGGGAACATGGCATTGGCACAGCCCAGGCCCCAGGACACAATGCCGTAGAGTCGCATGCGTCCATTGATGCTGGTGATTAGCGGACCACCGGAATCCCCCTGGCAACTATCGCGACCACCCTGCGGGGTGCCAGCACAGAACATGCTGCTGGTCACGGTGCCAGCGCCAAAGTAGTTTCGGATACACTGCGACTGATCCCGCTGCTGGACAACCGTGTATCGTAGGCGCTTCTCCGGCTGCATTTGGGAGATCGACTGGCTGCCCCAGCCGCTGACAAAGAGCTGAGCCGATGGCTGGATGCGGTCCTGCTTTGCGGCCAGGACAATGGGCTGGATATTGCCGCTGTAGACGAGTGGCTGCTGCAGCTGAATCAGCGCAATGTCGTTGTTCATGTGCGTGGGCTGGTGGAACTTGGGGTGCGGAACGATGCGTTGGATGCGAATGTAGCTGCCGCCAGTTGCCCATTCGCTGCTGCCGGCTCGAATCACATAGTACTGCGGCTTGCTGTACTCCAGCACACAGTGGGCGGCGGTCAGGATGTGGGTGGGCGAGAGGATAGCGCCGCCACAGGCATGTCGCGTGCCTAACTGCAGCGAGATCTGGTGCGGAAAGTGGATAATGTTCGTCTCCCAGCCGCCCACAATGCGGCCATCCTGCTGGCCAGCGGTGATGTTCAGCGCCCCAGCCGTCCAGATAAACCAAAGTGATATCCCCAAGCGTAAACTAATCATCTTGCTTCCAGTTGTCGACTGCGTTTGGCTCCTCTGTGGTCCGCTCTCTTATAGCCAGCATCGAATCATTCCTTATCTTATCTCCTGCTCGGTAGACGCACTTCTTCTGGTAGTCACGGTTTTTCGGTGGCCTTAGCCAGGGTCAGAGGAAGACCTTGTCCCTGGCTATCTTTGGTATTTATGAAAATATATAGAGGGCAATGCTAGGGCTTGGATAGATGATTAAAGGGTGACTGGTGAGTGAGTGCTTCTACTGCCTAGGCTTTTGCTCTTCCAATCATCTTTCCATGGCCGTCACCTGCTCCTTGAGGTAATCCAAATGATTGACGCTGTCCTGCATCACATCGTACTGATAGCCAACGTGCTGCAGGATCAGGCTCATCTTCTGAAGATTCTGAGAGCTGTAATCCGACACGACATCGACCTGAGTAAAGTTCTTCAGAGTCTGATGCATAATCTGAAGGAGAAAAAACGGGAATTTATTGATTCTGATAAGAAAGAAGAAGAATTAATGCTCACCTCATTGGTTTTGGATGCCCGCACAACCTGGCGTGCCACAGAGCCTGTAATTCCACATAAAAGTTTACATATTTTATTAGGAACCAACCTCCTGTGTCCCATTTCTCACCCAAATTATTCACGTTTATCCCAACGCGGGCACACAGACGCTTCTTGGACTCATCGAAGAGGTGACGGGCACTCGAACTAGATGCAGATGCCATTGCTATTAATAAGTAAACACTATTTTAAATGTTAAAAAACGTTTGCGGAAATTGATAAAAGTTCAAGGCGATCAGCTGTTTTTGCGATATATCAATATATCGATATATATTTTTGACTTAATTTGATAATATATTTATTGGTGATTGTTTTAGGCTGGCATGTCATGCCGATGCACAAGAAAATATCGTTATTTATATGCGATAAGAGAAACGAATTCGGCGGCTTATCTTTAATTGCTCCTCCACCTTTGCGTGGTCCAATGCTGTTTGCTGTGTGCCGGGCTATGCTCTACATGATCCTTGGTTGTAGATATTGACCCTAAATGTTTAGCTTGTTTTTATGTGCTTAGCGATAGTTGTCACGTGTAGAATGTATACTTGGAGGCGCTACTGAGCCGTGTAGTTGGTATGTCGATGTCATGTATCAAACTTAAGCGAGTTTTTAAATTAATTAATGGGATACATCCTTTCCCGCCCAGGGAAACGACGGATCGTTCTCCATCTCGAATACCCACGTCTGGTTGCCAATGACGATGCGGTAGCGATCCACCTCCTCTTTCATGTAGGTGGTCAACAGACCGCCGTCGAACAGGCATCTCGACCTTGTCGTAGGAAATATCAACACAAATAATAGCAGATCAAAAATCAATTTTTGGCCCATAAAAATATCTTCTAAAAATAAGTTATATGCTTTTTTTATCAGAAATCCAATTTGTGGTTACATTTTCTGTAAAAACTGACTAAATTCTATGGTAATTTCTGTCTTTTATCACATACATATGTATATGTTATTATCAATGTCATCCCGAGTTCCTGTATCTTCTTCTGAAGCAGTGGTTCACATTCGGCTTGATTCCCTGGCAGCGGTTATTCCATGCCACCCATGCGGAAAAGCCCTGCTGGCGTCTGATGTACTTGGCGCAGGCAATGGAGTACCTGATGTCGTCGCTGAGCAGCAGACGGCAGGGCAGACGACAGAGATCCGTGGAGGGACGACCGTCCGCTGGCTTGCACCAGTATCTATCGTTGATCTGGAAGAGACCCCAGTCCACAGAGCCATCCACATTGGAGGGATTGATGGCTTTGCTGTTGAAGGAGCTCTCGCCCTCCACGAGGCAGAGCCAGTCGGGCAGCTCGCCGTAAGGCACACCATACCGATAGAGCTGTCGGGCCAGGCTGCACCTTCCCACCTGGCGGGCGCTGGCCAAGGATGATAGCCACGAGACCAATAGCCCCAGCAGCCACAGCACCTTCATCTTCAATCTGCATGAACTGTGGGCCCCTCTGGGCTGGCGACCAGGCTTTTATAGCCCCACAGCGCGTTCTGAATGATTACTTAGGCGCTTGGGCCACTCACTCTGACAGCTCTGAAGGGGGCCCACACTCGAGCATAAATCATGAACACTGGACGGCAAAGTGGGCTAAGATCTGCATGGCATAGGCACATCCAATATGATGCGGCTCCCCGAATCCGGCTGATCAGTGTTACATTTAGGTTGGACTTTCAATTCTCGAGCACCAGCGAGCGATCCAGCCAGTTTTCGGTAATATATGGAGTGGGAATTGTGTGCCATTTAAGCCGAGAGCATCTGCCGCCTGATCGACGGGGCCCAGTTTCACTTTCAATAAATTCTTTTGTTTCCCCCATCTAGATCGTATGGTGTTATTTAACAATAATGACAGCTGGAGGGGGCTGGAGCACTTGAGATAGCGTCGCGTGTGCTCGCACGAAAAGTTGAGGGAAAAGTCATTCAACTTTTGAACAACATGTTTCTTGTCAAAAGTTCGTACAAAAATATGCAACAAAATACATACAAAATATCTTAAAAATATATAATATATAAAGATTATCTTCGGTTATCGCATGTCCTGCAGCTCCCGTGCTGGCGGATACTTTGTCTCGTCCTGCCCCTGTTCCGTGGGCTGCTGGTAGACTTGTTTCGGCAGGAACTGCCTCTTCCGGGAGGTGGGACGCACCAGGATGTGGGCTACACAAGTGCATATGGCGGCAATGGCAAAGTACTTGAAACTCTCTCGACCCCCGAGCCGCTTGAACATGAGTCCGCCGATAAGAGAGCCAATGGAGAAGCCGAGGCCATCGTCCATGCCGGCCATTAGGCCCTGAACCGTGGACGAGGTTCCGGGCGGCGCCACAGCCGAGGCATAGGCTACGATGCACGTGTAGCAGAGGGCATAGGTGATGCCTTGGAAGAACAGCTCCACGCCCACCAGATACCAGGGGTTCGGGATCCAGGCAATTAGCGACAAGCGCACCGCATAGAAGAAAAAGCACATGCTCATGCAGTGGACGTAGCCGAGCTTCTTGATGATCTTGCCGCTGTAGAAGAAGAAGGGCACCTCGCCGGCCAGGCACTCGGCAGCCACCACCAGGCCCTCGATGAGCTTGATCTGATGCATATAGCCGGTCTCCTCGGCCACCTGTTCCACGTGCCAGAACATGAAGTAGATGATGAACGAATCGATAATGCCCGCTATGGTGGCAAACACCAGGAAGACGACAATCGGTGGCTGTCGCACCAGCTGCCAAACATCCTTCGCAATGGTCTCGGAGCCGCCCAGCTTGGGCAGCTTCAGCTTGGACACGCTCACCAAATCCAGCGTGCTGAACACGCACATGATGATCAGAGCGGGGGTCAGGCTCTTCACGGCATCCGCGGTCCACAGATCGACCGCAATGCCAGCCAGCAGTGCGGTGGCACCAAAGCCAATGGTGCCCCACACCCTCTGGGCCCCGTACTTGTCCTGTTCTTCGTCGCCCAGCAGATCGAAGCAGCAGGCATCCGATATGGAGTTGGTCACATTGAAGCCAATGGTTCCAATGAACAGCAGGAGCACGTACAGCCAGAACTTTCCATTTCCAAAGATGCAGCTGTAAGTGTGCTGCAACTCGCAATAGACGGTTGTCCCACTGATCTGTGAGACGGAGTCGAGGCTGCACATGTGGTGGCTCTCATTCCCGTGCTGAATGTTCTGGCTGAGATTGAGGCCCGCCGCCGCGTCATTGGCTACAACCAGAGCCTGAAAGCCTTCGCATTCCGCCTGGTACACCATCTGGCAAAAGGCGGGAGAAGAGAGCACCTCTGAAGAGCACTCCTTTGGTGCATCCAGCAGGGTGACATTCCACTTGGCACTGCCCTCGTCCAGGCGTATGACATGAGTTCCCAATGGCTCACTGGGCAGGAAATAGAAGCCGGCATAGGCCAGCGTCATGACCAGGATCAAGGTAATAAAGATGAACTTTCGCAGGCGCTAAACGGAAATCATTAATAGGGGTATTGTCTGGAATGGTTAGATTTGATCCTCTGTCTTACCGTGAAATAGTCCGCGAGGAAACCCACCAGGGGCTTGGCCAGGACATAGAGTATGGGCAAGACGGCCATTATGTATCCCATCACATCCGGAGGGACTCCAAGCTGCTTGCCAATCACCAAAAGCTGCGGCAGAATGGGCCCCATGGCTACGAACGAATCATTGAAAATAGTAGATGAAGTCTTTATGGACTAATCTTCCACTTACCCGCCATAAAGAAGAAAAAGTGCGCCTTGATGGGCAGCAGGCGTCGATTGAGTCGCCCCATTGTCCAGTATATTAATAGCTATCTCGAAATGGTCAGATGTATCACAGTTTTACGGCAGAATCATGTCTGCTACGTGCAATCTTTTGAGTGAACTCCGGGTCGGGTGTCTCCTTCTAGCCAGATAAGACCATATTTTGTGCACTTGCCGTCTTCGACGTGGGTCGGGCTCTGTCTGCTCGGGGGAGTCTGTAAATATCAAGTGATGTTGGATGTAAATTAGATCCCTGCTAAACGATATCTAATCTCAGTCACCAGCCAGCCACCGCGATAAGCAAACGTCTCCAGACACATTATGGATAGAGGTGTAATCGGCAGCATAAAAGCCAGATACGAGAGCATAGGTTTGAACTATACTACCATTGCCGCCTATCTATAAGACGTCGCCAAATCTTATCTGCAGATGGTAAAGATTTTAGGGTACCATTATAGAACGCGGGGCAACAATGTTCATTCGTTCAGCCCACGATTAAATGCTTATAGCATCGTATGTCTACTCGTAAGTAAGTGCTTATAGTATAAACCGGTTTACAGACCCACCAAAATCGCACACTTGACACACAAAAAAAACGACTTACAAAAGCCGGCAAAACGAATTAGAGGGTGCCTCTTCCAAAACAGATAATTAATCAAGCCGAAAAAATACACAACAAATATTGGAGGGAGTTACGGACAAAAAAGCCAATATGTGAAGCACCTATCGAAGGCGAACAAAGAGAACTGGAAGCAGGGAAGCCATAAAAATGCTGCGATTTGGTTTGATTTGATTAAGTTGTTAGAATCGCAAACAATGGTTTTAGATTCTCAACAGCTCTATATTTATGTAAATCACTCGATTATTATTTTTTTTTTAACAATGAAAATAAACTTGAAAGCACCCACAGCTCTGAGGTCTGAGATCAATTGGCTGGCCCTTCGAACGCTGAGAACTGCGGCCACCGACTGAAGAAGTAGCAGCAGTCCCGTTGCAGGGGGACTGATAAGTCGGCTCTGGCGATAAGGGAATCGACTGGTAGTAGTAGCAGACATAAGTACATATATTGTCAGAGCGCACACATAAGAGAGCGGCCAAAGTGCCTCTTTCATCGTGCGGTATTTCCCAGATGCTAACGCTAATAGATCTGGCATATCCAAATCCCCGCTTGACTCATCACCATCACCATCCTAAGCTGTGCGTAGTACAGCCTTAAGCTCGTGAGATCCAATGCGATCGGATCGAAATCAAGTTTTAATCGCCACAGCTGACAAAAACCAGGCTTCAGTCGCCGCTGATCTTCCATTGCGAGTGGTTCGGTTCGGTCCGGCCTTAAGCTGTAGCTTTGACTCGTATTCATTCGTGTTTATAAATAGTCGATTGCATGCCTGCTGAGCTCCAAGCAGCTCAATCCCGAGTTACGACAGTGCAACAAATTAACTAAATCTCAACCTCTACGCGGCACTCAAGTGACAGGCAATTAAGTGACAGAAAACCTCTGCGACGACATATACATATCAATAAATTTAATAATGCAGTTGCTTACATTTATGGTCGTGGCACTGATGATTGCGGCCTTCTTATCAATATGTTTGGCTGTGGCACCGCCCGATGATGGGAAATGTAAGTTTATTAACACCAAGGGGCGTATACGGTTGGGCAATGGCTCTGGAAATGAAAACAAAAGGGAATAGGGAAAACTGTAGTTAAATATCAAGACAATAGACCATTACGACAGTACCCTAAATAAACCAGAAATAAAGTGGGTTTTTAATATTCAACCTCCAGTAAATGCCGCCCTTTTCCTTTCTGTTTATCCAATTTTCGCAAGTCCAGTACCAAGCGAGAGAGCAGCGGCTGACCTTGTGGGTTTCAGTTTCTGGGTAATCGAAACCCGCTAGAGATAGTATCTGGCCCCTCCTCCTACACACACTCACACACCTAAAAGCCGAACCCCAAAAACCTGTCCCCCTGCCAACCTTGAGGCGAATGCTCCACTGCCCAAAATGCTCTATCCAGATCCCCCATGAACGTGACGCCACTTCGCGGGTTTATGCCAATTCGAGGAACGCATCAATCTGCAAAAAGTTTCCCAGTTTCGATGCTGAGGGGAATTTTTAATTTAACAAGCAATATACCCCAGACCAGATTTCCGCCCGCCCCCCTCCAGATGAAACGGTTTCCGAAAACTGCATACAAAAGAAAAAGATAAAGATACAAAAAAACCCTAAAAATACGTATAATCATAATTAATGCCGATGGGGGGAAACGGGTTTTTAGCGAATTATATTAAGTATATATACTAAAACGTTAACTAACCGCTAACTAACTGTCAATCTTTTAGTGCGGGTTTGTGTGGTGGAGTCGCGGGGTACATATCAAAAAACCCCCAAGTTCTGTCCCCTGCTGGAGGCCAAGAGCAACATCGAGTGCGTCATCGGGGTGGACCGGCTGGACTGCGTGCGGCGCATACACAAGGGAACGGCCCACTTTGGTGTCCTCACCTCGGAGGATCTGGTGGCAGCGCGATGGGCCAGCGTGGAGATACTGGTGGCCAGCGAGCTGCGCTCCCACGAGTCCAACTTTGAGTACGAAATTGTGGCGGTGGTGGACAATCAGGCCAACATTCATACGGTCCACGATCTGCGCGGTGCGAAGCTGTGTCATCCCGGCTATGGTTTGGGCAGCCACTGGACGGAGGTGTTGGCCAATGTAAGGGATTCTTGGACGATAGATGGGACACATCTTCATGGAAGTTTTCTTTTACTTTGCAGTATTTTGAAGCCGCTTTGGTTTCCAAGACATGCGATCCAGAGCTGACGGTCACAGAGGATCGGATAGCGGCCTCGTCGAGATACTTTGGGCCCAGCTGCAAGGCTGGTCCCTGGGTGCCCGATCCTAAGCAGGATCGCATCCTCAAGAGCCGCTATCCCTCGCTGTGCCAGATGTGCTATGATCCCTACAGCTGCGACCAGAACGACAAGCACTGGGGCCGACGTGGAGCTCTCTACTGCCTGACCAGTGGCGGCGGCAGCGTCTCCTGGGCCCGTCTCGACGATGTGCGGAGTCACTTTGGTGTGAGTACTGGAGGAAAGCCATCCAAATTTGAGATATTTAGCCAGATCTCGTCTATCTTTTAGTTCACGGGCATAGCAGCGCAGGCGGATGCGTCGGAATACAGCTACCTCTGTCCGGATGGGCATCTGCAGCCCATGAATGCGACACAACCGTGTGTGTGGGTGGCCAAACCCTGGCCAGTGGTGGCCGCTCGTCGCACCCATGCCGCCCAGGTGCAGCGCCTGGTCACGGGACTCACCCACGATGAGCCCGACAGCTGGCAGAACGCTCTTCTGAGTCTGCTGGAGACGTATCATGTGTTCACGGTGCCGCTGGATAATGTGATAACGATCGACGACTATCTGGATCAGGCCACGGCCTTCCAGTCGGCCTACAGCTTCCCCGAGTGCAATCCCCCGCGGTCCATTGTCTTCTGCACCACCTCCATCTTTCAGCACATCAAGTGCTCCTGGCTGCAGGAGGCCTCGCAGGTCTATGGCGTGCAGCCCAACATTCAGTGCGTGCGAACCATGAATGTGGAACAGTGTCTGGACGACACGCGGTTCAAGAGCACCGATGTGGTGGTGGTCGATCAGGAGATGCGCGTAAAGGCCCAGCGGGACTACAATCTCGTGCCGCTGCTCTACGAGTTCGCTTTGGACATGCACGACCGATACGTGACCATGGCGCTGGTTCACAAGGACTCAAAGTATCAGAACATCAAGGATCTCAGGGGAGCGCGTGCCTGTCTGCCGTCCTTTGAGGGGGCTGCCCATCTGTCGGTGCAGGAGGCAATTGTGAATGGCACGGGCCTGGTGCATTCGCTGCACTCCTTCTTTCATCGCGACTCCTGTCTGTGGCATCCGCACCACGGAAGAGAATGTCCCATGCACTACCAGGGCGATGAGGGCGCCCTGCGCTGCCTGGCCGAGGGCGGAGATGTGGCCTTCCTCAGCTCGGATGTGTACAAGAAATATGCGAGTGGCAACATGACTGCCGATTGGGTGACGCGTGGCAGCCACAAGGATTACCGTGCCCTCTGTCCGTATGGGGGCATTGAGAGGCATTCGAACTTTGAGTTCTGCTACCTCCATTGGACGACACGTGGCCACCTGATGACGCACAATTCGTCACTGCCGCGTCGCAATGAGATCTACAATTCGCTGCGCGACATGGACCAACTCTTTGGCAGGAAATACAAAAGCGATACGCGTCCTTTCACATTGTATGGTATCTTCGACAAAAGGAATAACATAATGTTCCGGGATACCACGGATGGGCTGCTGGGCCTCCAGGAGCTGCACAGGGACAATGCCAAGCGCGTGATGGAGCCCATCTACGATAGATATGCCACCACGCTTTACTACAGCAGCAAAGATGAGAACGGAGCACAGCGAAACAATAGCAGTTGCTTGCTTCTTTTGTTTTTAGTGGTCCTCTGGCCGCTGTGGCGAAACTTTTCTTAGTCAAGAGCACAAATCTAATCTTATTTATTGATGTGATATTACGCTAAATTTGTTTTAAGAATAACATACTGACCCGCCCTGTATCACCTGATTTTGTTGCTCTTTTTGAAATTGCGGTTTAAATATGATTGAAACCTATCGAAACCTATCAATTACTCACCAGTTGCATCAGCTGTTCATCAGCTGTTCATGTTATTGCTGCTTTTTTTGTTATTGTTGCTATGCACTTGGGTTTGTTGTTGCCAAGGAAACAGGAAAAATTTGTCACAACTCAAAAAGAGGATAGTCTGCATTGCAATTGATTAAATATACTTGGCAATTGGCGTTAACTCTATTCACTAAACTTTTAAACTAGCCATTTTGAGGGCATTGGGCGCTATAAAATGTCTAAGAATGCAGCGCGGACAAGCAGCAAGACAAATGTGAGCCGATAAATACAATTAATAAGAGAACACTTGCACGGTTATGCTTTTAATTGATTATATTACACATATACATTACTTGGCACTCGAGAGATATTCACAAGTTCACTCAGTACATTTACATCTTCACCTGATTCACTGGGTTATTTTTGCAAGTATCGCCATTAAACTCACAGCAGAAATACAGCTGCCACGCTAGCACAAGAACACACACGCATATTAATAATGCAGAGACTTGTCAATCAATTAAAATTAATAAAAGAACACCGACCGATCGCACCCACGACACATCTTTTGTTTGGATTATGCCAGTGCTGCACAGCAGCCAGTGTTGCAAAATCTTCAAGCACTTAAAATGAACAGTTAAAATTGGAAATTGAAATTTTGTAGCTCCGAAATGAATTGCCAAGGAAAAGCACCAAATCGCAAGCTGTCAGTGGGACAGGCGCAACCACAAAGGACAGAAAACCATTGGTCAAACAACCGGAGAGCGTGGAATACGACAGAGCCCTAACGAAGCCCACAAAGACAGTGGCAACAACATCCACGAGCAGAAAACCTGCAGTGCCATCAAATGCGAGCAGAATCAAAAATAGGGATCCTGCCCAGCCTGCCAAACGGACGACCCCATCGCCTAGTACATTGCCTGCCGGTAAACAGCAGCCCCAGCCCGTAAAATCCAAGCCCAAGTCCAAACCAAATGCCGTGCTGGACACATACCACAGCGTGACGGTGGCATCGCCGCCACAGAAGCGTCGAGTGCAGCCAAAATCATCAACAGAGACATCCCCGGAGCCAGAAAGAGCTCCACCCCCGCCCAGAACCCGCACATTTACACGCACTTTAGACCCGGACGAGGTAAAGGTACTCAAGAGGGAGTCGGCCAAACAGAGGAGTGAGATCGAGGTGGGATCACTGCCTGTGAAGCAACCGGTTGCCTTTGAGGTTAAGTTTGAGGAGCCAAAGAAAGCAGACAATGAATCGGACAACTATTCCGATGACTTTGAATCATATGAATCGGACTTTGAGACTGGTTCCAGCACACCCGAGGAGGAAGCGGACGATGATGACGATGATGACGACGTGGACGATGATGGTGATGAGGAAGAGCCGGAGGAGCCAGAAGAGAAAAAAGAACAGCCAATGTCAGAGCCAGACGTCGTCGAAGAGGAGGAGGAGGAGGACTCTGAGCCCACACAGAACCCCATCACAGTGATACATCGGGACAAGGAGCAGGATCGCAAACTAGACTCTGGCCACTACGACATGCACATGCGCCGTAATCCGATGCTGGCGGAGCTCAGCTCCCAATCCACGCAGCATCAGTGCGATAGCTTCGATACCAACTCGATGGCCAACTCGGAGCAGCTAGACTCTGGCATAAGCACAACGGGCCTGGGCCTAGAGAAAACCCCAAGCGGAGAGTCAGCGTCCAATGTCTACTACGGGGGTTATGCCAACTTTGTGTCTCATCCTGTGGAGTGTCGCCGCGGCAAGGAGCTCATGCGGAAGTTGCGATTCGACCACCTAAACTATCGTCTGTTCGAGATGAAACCGCTGAGCTACGAGGGATACATGCAGAGCTACGGGAAGCTGAACACCTGCCAGCTGGCCACTCAGACCCAATCCCCCTACATAGACGCTGAGTGCCAGACCCTGGAACTGCACAGTCGCAGCAGTTGGACCCAGCATCCGCCCCACTATGGCGGCCAAATGGTGCTCAGCTGCAGCGGGGATGCCGAATCGGAAACAATGCTGAAGCGACCTACAGATGACTACGAAACGAGCCTGTCCCGCTTGGAGCAGCTGCATCGCCTGGAGCAGGATCGTACACAGCAGCAACAAAGACTCCGCCTGGCCAAGCCCACGGACTTTGAGCGTCTCGGTGCGTTCCTTCACAATGCCTCGCGTCTGATGGTGAAAGTTCTGAATGAAAACATGCAGCATCGTCCCAACAGCCCGCACCACCTTCCCTTGCAGACTGGCCTGTTGAATGCTCTGCCCGTGCGCCGCATCTTCGGCAGCTCTGGAAACGGACAGCTCGTGGTCACGGTGCACGAGTGCCCGCCGCAGAGCAATGTCTACAGCGAGGACTTTGCCAATTTGCTGATGGTTTGGTCACTGAACAGCCCCGCCAAGCCCCTGCGCCTGCTGTCCACCTGGGCGGAGGTTTGTCGCGTGGCCTTCTGCAGTGAGGCGCCGGACATAGTTGTGGCGGGCCTCAGGGACGGCAGTGCGGCCATGTGGGATTTGCGCGAGACCTACAGCTATTGCTCGAAACTGGACGGCCACTTGACTCACTTTGCTGCCACCCAGTCTGTGGTGCCGTCGCTGGGCCAGGCGACTGCCTTGGATCTCGGTGCCATGGTGGATGTGCGAAGCTTTCGAAGCCAGCCCAAGGCAATGGCAGAAGGATTGCACGCCACCCACAAGGAAATTCAGGTGAGAGCAGTTCTCCACTCAGAGTTCTGGATTATAGCTTGTGCATATCTTTCCATAGTACGCTTCGCTCAATGACTCTGGTTTGCTGACGATGTGGACGCTGGTGGAAGGCGCCACTGCCGCTGGTAGCTCTGCCAGCAATGAATACAGCTCGCCATGGGCCAGGGTGAAGCTACTGCAGAGCGCCAGCTGCGACCTGAGGGGCTACCTGGAGCGGCGTCTGCTGCGGAGCAACCAGAGTGCCTACGAGAAGACCAAGTCCCTGTTTCAGGGCAACATCTACAACGACGATCTGCTGAGGGAGCTGAACGAGACGCAGACCCTGAGCACGGCTCTGCAGGGCCAGGGCTTGCAGGGGCTGCGCTTCACCAGCATCGACACGGGCAGCGATCTGATCTATGTGTGCAGTAATCGGAACTTTGTGCTCTGCTGCACGCGCAGCCTGAAGACAGAGCGCTTCAGCCGTATCGCTGTCAACGAGAGTCGCTTCTTGTTCCCCACCTCGCTCTGTGTCCTCTCCAACGAGAGCTTCGTGGCGGTGGGTCTATCCAACGGCTCCGTGATGATACTCAATTGCAATCAGCGACAGAACCAGCGTCAGAGCCACAAGAGACCCACCACTGGCATGCCACCATCCACCGCTGATCACGATCCGGACATAGGCAAATCCTGTGCCATTCAGAACATCATCCTCAACGAGCGTCGCTCCTTCGAGCAGCAGATGGATGGAGCACAACTGGAGGGCAGAAGCTACGATCTGAGGCCCGATACCGCCCTGGAGCTGATTCGGCAGCCGCGTCGCTCCTACGAAATGCGCATCTTTGATCAGCAGCTTCTCCTCAGCGGCAGTGGGCTACGGCAGCACCTTGTTCAGGCTCTGGTCCTATCCAATGATGGATGGCGTCTCTCCGCCCTGGCCAATGGATCTGTGCGCACCTACGACTTTTACTTGGACAAGGAACTCCCCCAGGAGCAGCCAGGGGACAGCAGATCCCATATTATGGACATAGCCGCCGCCCGCAGCTCGGGGAATGAGCAGCATTTACTGATCCTCGACAAAGGTGGACAGGTGCAAATGCATTCAGTCGACTCGTAATCTGTTGATTATTTTTTAACTATTTCTTGTATGCGTTTGTTGAACCTACTTTTTCGAGCTAAATAAAGTTTTAGATGCAATTAAAATACATCTACGTATGTACTACATATGTATATGTTGGGCTAAGATTAATATTATTTGGATTTTCGATTGTTTTATAGACCTTGGACCTCGGAGCCACGCAACTAACGAGTCTTGACATGCCCAAGCAACCTACATTGTTTTTTTTTAATATTTTTGTGGATTTCTGCCTCACCACCACGAGCAACGCAATAACATAGAAAAGGGAAAGGACACGAATAACGGACTGACAGAATTAAGGGGGCAAGAAAAGACAAAGCGCATAAGAGTATAAGATACGCAGTCAGTAGACGATAAAGCCAGAACACAATAAAAATAATATTACGACAGGTACATATTAACTTAAAGTCCCTTCATGGGTATATTCATTCTTATACTCCAAATGTTTCAAAATATTTTAACTTAAATCTGTTTAAACATTATGGTGCTTCAAATTACATTAAAAGGTCCAATAACTCAGGGAAAGCACATTAAAAATTTCAATCAAAGATCTGATTGGTTTGTCCATACTTATATACTAGTATATCGTTATCTTATTGCGATAGTCAACAATTCAAAACATAAGGAGAAGAACAAATTCACTTAATAGTTCTCCACTTCTACTACAAAATAATGAAATAACAATTGTTTAGGTTCCAGCACTCTTTTCACCATCATCTAGTGGTACAGGGGATGGGCGCGGTCGTCGCCTGCGTCGCGATACACGCAGTACGAGCTCATCGTTGATTCGCTCAAATTGATAGTCCGTGGAGCCCATGGAGCAGCGTTTGGTCACCACCGAGGTGTCACTGCCGAAGCTACGATTGAAACTCTCGTCTAGCGTTTCATCAATGGTCACATTTTGGAGGGTCATAGATGCCTCGTTTCCGAGTGCAACCGGCGGCTGGGACGGTGGTGGTGTCTGCGGAACAACTACTTCGTCTGTCTGCATATCCTCGAGCAAGTGGATTTTGCGTTTTTTGAGCGGAGTCTTCTCGACTCTCAGTTTATCTGGTGTCTTCATTGGCGTGGTTTTTATGCCCTTAGTCGGGGACCTGGCTGGACTTAACTGAAGGGGAGACTCGGTAAGCATTTGAAGCAAATCCTTTTGGGGCGACTTTTGGGCTTTGTTGGAGGTTGAAGTGACTTTTGTCTCGTCCGGCGATGTCTGATGCAATTGCTGTAATGCCATTTCAATGGTGTCCTCTGCGAGTGTGAGGTTCGGATAGCTCGTATTGTGGGCACTCGGCACTGGCTCCTGCTCTCCGGTCAACTCATTCATGGCCGCCTCCAGAACCATATCCTCACTGTTATCGGTCTTTGTTGAATCTGGCTGAGCATACAAAATGTTGGAAGGCTTGGAAGTGGCTGCCACAATAAGAGAATCGTGTATAGATCCGTGAGGTGGTAGTATAGGAATCTCAATCCCAGTCGATTGAACTGCAGCTGTTCCAATTACAGGAGATTCATTCTTTGGTTCGTAAAGTACAGATACAGGAGCATCAGGGGTCTCCATAGCAGAAGTCTCCACAACAGGAGTCTCATTGTTGGTTTCATAAACTACAGCTACAGGAGTCTTAATGATAGGAAAATCAGCAACGAGAGTTTCCTTAACAGGAGTCTCAGTCACAGGAGGCTCCTCAATGGCTGGAGTCTCATTCTCTGTCTTAGTAACTGTCGTCTCAATCACAGGTGCCTCAACTTCAGGAGTAGCATTTTCTGATCCGAGAGTTGAACTTACATTTGTCTCAATCGCAGGAGTTTCAGGTAAAAGTGCTGTATTTATACGCGTCTCAATTGCAGGAGTTGCATTTACAGGAGTCTCAATTACAACAGTTGCATTCACAGAAATCTCAGTTTCAGGGATATCTTTCTCTGATTCAGGATCTGCTATTACAGTAGTCTCAATTTGAGGACAGTCGTCCTGTAATCCGCCAGCCGTCATCTCATGTATAACAGTTTCATTCTCAATCTCCATATCTTTAACAATCTTAACCGATGCACGTCTTTCCTTCTTGGGAATCTCGTCGTTTTCTATCTTACTATCAACGATATCTAAATCTGGCGACTTTGAGCTGACATCTGTATTCATTTCTGATGAATCGTATGGAACATCGACGGTTAACGCAATATGCTCAATATCCACTATCACTGGCAATCGTATAACCTCAATTATTTCGATTGCTTCGGTAACCTGAATGGGGCAATCATCACCTAAAGGCGCATTCATGGCTGTACATTTTGTCGGGGTTTTAATATCTTCTAATGATTGATCCGCAGTAATCTCACTGGGACGTATTGGGGTGGGACAATCATCACCTAAAATCGCATCCGTACATTTGGTCGGGGTCTTAAAGTCTTCCAGTGCTGGCGGATTGTGAGTCACTTCTCCTGTTGCTTCTTCAACGGCATCTCCCATTACTTCAGCACTTGGTGGCACTGACATAGTACTGAGAGTGTTTTCCTTTTCTTCCGATTCGGGTGTAAGATTTATGCTAGAGGTTGCGATATCCATTGAATTATCTCCGTCCTTGCTGTGAGATTCGCAGATTAATTCCGTTTTGGGTGTAGAATTGATGCCAAGTGTTTCGATGTCCATTGGACTCTCTTCGTCTTGGCCTGGAGCTTCTGGTATGGATTCCGCTTCCAGGCGACTCTCTTGGTTTTTGTCGGGAACTGCTGCATTGTGTTGATTTTCATTCGTCTTCTCCATTTCCTCTATCGCCTTTGCCGGCTTACAGTCCTTTATTGGACGAGTAATCACTTCCTCCGTATGATCAACGATACAATCGTCTATTGAATCTATTTTGGGAGTATCCAAATCTTCAGGCTGTTCCTCTGTCAACTTTATTTCATTCTTTATAGGAGAATGCTGCTCGCAAATCATATCTAGTCCGGGTATTTGCAGCTTATCGAAACTGCTGGCCCACGAAAACACTCCAGCTGTTGGACCAACTTTCTCCACGGTCTCTTGTGCAACTTGTGACAATGGCAGACTGCAGCCAGAGATGGCTAGAGGATTCACCTGGAAGTACCCTTCAACAACAGCGACAGTTATGTCTGCATTTTTGGCGGGCTTGTCCTCGGCGATTGCCTGCAATTTGTTTTCTGGTGTGTAAAGCTTTACTGGCGTCGCTGGGGACATATTGGCTTGCATTTTCTTAATCATTTCATAGTTGGGACTGGCTAGAACTTGGTCGTTTGTCTCCTCGCCGAAGAGGGTCGTCACTGTGGCATCTTTCTGTGTTGTTTTGGAGCGATCGTTATCTGGCTGCCGAGCACTGAAAGAATTGTCAAATGCTGCTATCAATGAAGTTTTGTGCGGAATGTAAGCCGTTTTTCGCTTACCTGGGCTTTGTGGATGCTGTGCGGTTAGGGGAGCGCGAAACACTTCGGCGTTTGCCTGAGCGATCCTTGCTGTGGCGGCTCCCATGGTGCTCATGTCTGTGGGAGCGTTTGGCGCTACGACTGCGACTGCGGCGTCGCTCATGTTCTTTTAATCGGGTGTCAGAGCTCCTGTGGTGTTCCTCCTTGGGAGATCTGCTGCGAAATTTACGTTTGCTATCCTTGTTGTCATGCGACTTGGACTCTCCACCTGTAAAGCTCTTTTGGTGATGAATATGATCAATTTTGTTGTGCTCCTTTTTGAATTTGTTGGTCACAGTGTCCGCCAGTTTGTACACAGAGTCCTCCAGCTTATGCCTCTTTGGATCCTTGGAATCAGTCTTCAATTTGTTGGCCACAGGTTCTACCAGTTGTTTCGGTCTTTTGTGGTCTGTATTCTTTGACTCAGTGCCGACCACAGTTTTGAATCTGTTGGTCACGGGCTCTGTCAGCCTGGGTCGTTGATTCTCGTGGTCTGTATTCTTGGAATCATTGCCGACCACAGTTTTAAACTTGTTGCTCACGGGCTCCGACAGCTTGGATCGTTTGTACTCGTGACCTGTATCCTTGGGATCCTCATCAGTTCGCCCGCGCTTCCGCCTGAAGCATATGTCGTCTTTCCTACAGCAAAATGTAATGTAAACAGGTTATGATTCTTGGACTGAAGGTAACCGGAATACTTACTCCTTGCGCAGCTGCGTAATCATAGACTCCTTCCTTTTTATTTCCGATTTAGCAGTGTCCATGAGGTTCTGTAGATTGACCTCCATAGCTTTGATCTTCTTGTTGAGCGCCTTATTTTCCACCTTAAGGCACTCGATTTCGGCCTGTGCGCTTTTGCATTTGTTCTCCCAGGCCTGCAGTTCCTTTGATTTCTAGAAGATAATAAACGTTACAGACAGTTTCCTGGCCAACTGGAATGGCACACCACACGCACCTTTTCCTCGGCATTTTGGAAGTCGTCCAAGTCGCCGTATATATCGTCATCGCCCAACATTTTAACAAATTAAAATGCACGAGCAGCAATTCGTGGACGAAAGTCACAGATGTTGTGAGATGTTGTAAGTGTTGGCTAACTCACCAGAATTACGAATTTACTTATGGGCAGCACTTTTCCCGGAATGGAAATTTAAAATTTATTTGCAGTAGTCAGTGTTTTATTTATCATTAAACAAAAGCACACAAACAACAATAGCTCAAACCCACAAAATAATGGATGCGTATGCACATACACGTTTCTACAAGAAGGAGAGGAGGAAATTCTCGTTAATTACATACTTCCTGACAGCCGTCCTTCTCTTTCTATCGGCGGTTCAATGGTATTTCATTAATGAATTGTAAGTATGTCAGGTCTTTGGCGATTTCTTTTACCCTAACTTTCTTTCAGGGACAAAGCAAACGAATTCTTCACTAAACAGTATTGGGTGGGCAGCATATTCTTCGCAGTCGGACTAGTACTGTTCGCCGTATTCATATTCTTCGAGGCTCTGCGCTTTACAGTGCCTATCAATTGGATATTTGCCATCGTTATAGTAAGACGATCTAGTATTATATATATATTTCCAAAGAAACACACCTGTTTCCAACTGCATTTCCAGCTTGAGTGTGCTGTCATGGGAGTGTCTTCTCTGGTGGTACGTCACCAAATGTACCAATTAGTGCTGAGCTTAGTCGTCTGGGCAGTAGTTCTGGGGGTCTTTCTTCTGTGCGGTTCCTATCTGCCGGTGAGTTGGCTGCCACGGAAGTATTCTTTATGACAATCACTCCTGATCCCATCTCTTCCTTAGCATGATATAACACTGGATATTGTGGTGCTGTTTGTACTCGCCATAGTTGCTCTCATTGGCGCTATGTACTTCCTAATGCTACACATCGTGACCAATATGCCCTATTATTTGTTGATCCATCGGGCCTTTGTTTTGGGCAGCATCTGGATGGTAGGTGGAACTTATATTTCCACTAGGAGTAGTCGTTAATTGATGCTCTTACTCCCTACAGTTTGTCATGTATCACGCGCAGATTATCAACGGTGGAAAGTTTGCGGAAATGCGCACCAAGGACTATTTACTGGCAGCTCTGATGCTCTTCCACGACTTTCTGTTGATGTTCATGCCAACTTTTCATTTTGCCTCCAAATGGTCCGATTCCTGCGATCCCAATGTAAATAAGACGAAAATGCTTGTATTTATAAATGACCCATAAAAAACAACACTTTCGCAAGAGGACTAAAAAGGACTTATATTTAAGAAAAACAAACCATGTCGAAAAAGATTGTGTGAAGATTTGAAAATTGCGCCTTACACTAATTGATGGGTAGCACTGCACTCAATTAAATTAAATCGTATTGCAGCCCTGTCCGACGTTTGGCGCAATTCCGGCACAGCTGCTCATTGGTTTTTATTTATTTCGCTTTTTATTTGAATGCCGAGTGCTGATTCGGTGAATAAACTAAAATTGGCACAAAGCTGACCTAAACAAAAAAAAAAAACCAGCAGTTATCCACTGTAGCATATCATTCGTAATTTCAGTTGAACTCTAGCTATGGACCCCACAATATCTGTTTCCAAGGTGAGCTGCGAAAATCTTTCGTTGAAATAAGAAATGAATATCCTTTTATGTCTTACCCGCAAAGGGCTGTTTTGTCTACAAAAATGGAGCTACGCGTGCCGGCAAGAAGGCTTCCAGCAAGCGAAAGAGGGCCACTGGAGCCACGAGCAGCCTGCTCGGAAAGGAGGTAATCGGGCAGCCCTTCTACGATGCCTACGTCCAGACTTGGAGTCAAATGAATGAGCACATTAATCGCTTACAGCAGCAGAGCTATGCCCGCACACTCGGGCAATTGGTGGAGTTCGTGGTAGGCCAGGGGCAGATCCAGGATGAAATTCTGCCCACAGCAGCCCTCCTCACAGGCATCAATCAGCCGGATCATCTCAGTCAGTTTGACACTTTTACCCAGCGCCTGCATGCCCAGAAGGCTGCGCGTGTCTGTGTGCTGCAGTCCCGGGATTGCCCCACTCTAAAGGCAGCCATCGAGGCCATGGTCTTCAGCCTGATCGAAGGCGAACAGGACCCAGAAGACGAGGAGGAGGATGTAACCGATCGGGATCGAAAGCGACTGCGACGCTCTCACTGCACGATAAAGCAGCTTAACTCCTGGTACACCAATAACTTCCAAGCGGAGGAGGAGAGGAAACGCCAACTGGTTGTCATACTACCCGACTTTGAGTGCTTCAGTGGCAACGTCCTGCAGGACTTCATACTCATACTCAGCGCCCACTGCGGCACACTTCCGTTTGTTCTTGTCCTTGGCGTGGCCACAGCGATGTCGGCGGTGCACAGCACCCTACCCTACCACGTCAGCAGCAAGATCAGGCTGCGCGTCTTCCAAACACAGCCAGCACCCACCGGCCTGAACGAGGTGAGATCTCGATCTGTTCCATAGATTCCATACAATTTAATATTTCAATTTGTTATTTTTGGACTGCACAGTTGCTGGACAAGGTCTTGCTCTCGCCTATGTACTCGTTTCACCTGTCCGGCAAGGCCTTCAAGTTCCTCACGCACATCTTTCTTTACTACGACTTCTCCATTCATGGGTTCATTCAGGGCTTCAAGTACTGCCTGATGGAGCACTACTTTGCTGGTAATGCCTATGCCCTCTGCACGGACTACAGCAAGGCACTAAATCGCATTAAGCTGTTGACGCACGACGATATGGAGACCATACGACGTCTGCCCTCGTTCCGGCCATACGTGGAGCAGATCAACGACTGCAAGCGAATCATCGCCGTCCTCACCGACGATGACTACCTAAAGAAGAAGCTGCCGCAGCTGCTGCGTGACTGTCTGCTCCACTTTCTGCTGTTTCGAGGCACGTTGGAGTTCTTCACAGAGCTGGTGGGAGATCTGCCGCGCTGTCCTCTGGGCAAGCTGCTGCGCGAGCTCTACGTCAACTGTCTAAACAGACCGATCACCGCGTCCCCGGAGTACAAGGAATGCTGGCAAATGCTGAGCTTTCTGTCCAAGGAGGAGTTTGTGGCCAAGGTCAACAAAAGTCTAGCCCGAACGGAGCACTTTTTGGTGGAGGAAATCGCTCCCCTCGAGCTGGGAGAGGGATGTATATCCGTTCTGCGGCCCCAGCTTCAAAGTGTCCGACAGCTGCTCGACGACGTGGTCATGGGCACCCTCGAGATGATGCCAGCCATGTCCACCGATGAGAGCAGGCCTGCACCTAGTTTAACGCAAGTCGCATCGCGGCAAGAGCTCAAGGCACAGCTCCTGCAGCGCAGTCAGGAAGAGAGACACCAACAGGTTCCCACCACGGAGTTTGCCCGATCCGTGCAGAAGGTGCTCGAGCACATAGAAACGCATCTGGTGCGCGGACATTTGCGGGCGCTCTCAGAGGCTCCACCGCTCCACGAGCTGTTCGTGTTCAGCGACATCTCCACGGTGCGCCGTAACATAATTGGTGCCCCACGGGCGGCCCTGCACACGGCCCTCAACAATCCACACTTCTACATGCAGTGCAAGTGCTGCGAGCTACGCGAGCAAACGCAGCTCATGGGCACCCTGCCCGATCTCTCGGTGGTGTACAAACTGCACCTGGAGTGCGGCCGCATGATCAACCTGTTCGACTGGCTGCAGGCCTTCCGCTCGGTGCTGCATGCCAGCGAGGATCCGGACGGAGAGGTGGCCCAAGAGCAGATCGATCCGCAGATACAGTGAGTCTTTTAAAATCTCCTAAATCTCACATTTTTTTAACTCTATTTACCTTTCCAGGGCACGCTTCACGCGCGCTGTGGCCGAGCTTCAGTTTTTGGGTTACATTAAAATGTCCAAGCGCAAGACGGATCATGCCACTCGCCTCACCTGGTAGATGCAACAGCATTGTGGGTTTTCTATCTCTTTTATTTATAAATTGCTCGCGTGTTACGGAATAAATACATATTTTTCTATGGGCATGCAAGAAATGTCTTTGAGAAGCAAGCGAGTAGCACATTTTTTTTATAAACTGTATCTGGGGACAGGCGTCCGTCCCTTAAATATCAACAAAATGCTCATTCCAGAGAGGTAGCTTCCGCTCTCCTCACATCAGCTTTAGTGTCTCAATAGCAGCCGTAATCCGCTCTATCTCCGCACGGGACTCTGTGAGTTTCGTCTCATTGGCCGTCTGCACCTCGGCGGGCACCTTGGTGGCATAGTCGGAGGCCTGCATAGCCTGGGTTAGCTTGCCAACAGTCTGGACCAGCTGATCGCCCTTCTTCTGCAGCTTGGCGATCTCCTTGTCAGCCTCCACGAGGCCCTTCAGCAGCAGATGCACCTCGCACTGGCCCGTCACTGTAAGGATGGCGCAACCGGCCGGAGCAGGGCTATCAAAGGCCACCTTGGAGCAGTAGGAAATGGTGGCCAGATCGCTGGCATAGCGTTTGAGTATTTCGTTGGGCGTGGCATCTGTGCACACGATGTACGCCTCCGTCTTAGTCTTGTTGGGCAGATTATAGTCGGAGCGAGCGGAGCGAATGATGCGTGCCGCTTTCTGGACAAACTCCACATCGGATTCGATCTTTGCACTGCGCCAGGTGGTGTTGCCTGCGAGGAACATAAAAAAAATCTCATTAGAAGGATAACTAACCAGATTCTGGCGGAGATTACTCACTTGGATAGCTGGCAACGCAAATGCTTGGCGCGGGATTCGCACGCGGCAGCCGCTGGTACAGCTCCTCCGTGATGAAGGGCATAAACGGCGAGAGCAGCCGCAGACCAAAGTCTAAGCAGACGTAGAGGGTGCGCCGCGCTTCGGTTTGCTGCTGCTCGCTGCCGCCCTGGAAGATCGGCTTCAAACACTCTAAATACACATCGCACAGATCGTACAGCCAGAAAGCGTAGCAGGCGCTGGTGGCGGCGGCAAAATCGTACGACTCGAAACCCGTATTGCAGGCCTCGATGGCGGCCGCTAGTCTGGACAGGATCCATGCATCCATTTGGTTAACGGCATCGGAGGCGCTCAAATCGGTGCTGAACTTCTCGTTGCCGGTGAAGTAGAGGAGGGCAAACTTTGTGGCATTCCACAGCTTGTTACAGAAGAAGCGGTAGCCGAGGACACGATTTATGTCCAGATTGATGTCACGCGCCTGGGTAATGTACGCGCAGAGGGCGAAACGCAGGGCATCCGATCCGCACTCGGGTATGCCCTGAGGGTAGTCCTGCTTTTGGCCGGCCTTGGCCTTCTCAATCTCGCGCGGATCCAGATTGGAGCCAACGAGCTGGGCGTGCAGGCCCTCCAGCGTGATGCCCAGAATCACGTCGATCGGATCGATAACATTGCCCAGGGACTTGGACATCTTGCGGCCGTGGGCATCGCGTACCATGGGATGTAGATATACCTCCTTGAAGGGCAGCTTGCCCAGCAGCTTCTGGCCGAAGAAGACCATGCGCGCCACCCAGAAGAAGAGAATGTCGTGGCCCGTCTCCAGCAGTGATGTGGGATAGAATGTCTGCAGGTCCTTGGTGTTGTCCGGCCATCCGAACACCGAGAAGGGGAAAATGCCCGAGCTGAACCATGTGTCCAGCACATCCTCGTCCTGCTTCAGCACAATCTTACTGGCATCCACCTTGAATCTATCGGCGGCCTTGCTCAAGGCCTCCGCCTCGCTGCGCGCCACAATCCAATACTGTTCGTCGTCGCTCTGCAAAAGAATACAAAAGGATATACCAATAATAAAATACAGAGCGGAGAGGAGCTTCAGATTACCACTCCACCAAGAGCAGGCTGGACAAGAGATCGTGAAGGATTAGCTCCTGATGAATGGGTTCCTGATTGGGTTTTCTTACCGTTCCGGTTTGAATGGAGGGATCGCTGAAGCTGACGTGGTAGGCGGGGATGCGATGGCCCCACCACAGCTGCCTGGACACACACCAGTCCCGGATGCCATCCATCCAGTGGTACCAGGTCTTGGTGTGGTGCTCGGGGATGATCTTAAGCTCGCCGGAGCGTACGGCTTCGGTTGCCGAGGCGGCCATGTCCGAGCAGCTGACATACCACTGCGGTTTGATGAGGGGCTCGACCACATCTTTCGACCGACTGCAGATGGGCACCACCATGGGATTGTTGATGGTCTCGCGGTAAAGGTTAAGCTTCTTGAGCCGCTCCAGGATTTGCTTGCGGCACTGGAAGCGCTTCATCCCCGTGAACTCTCCATAGTCGCCGATGATGAAGCCGTCGTCATTGAAGATCGTGATGAAGGGCAGGTTGCAGCGCTTGCCCACCTCGTAGTCGTTGGGATCGTGGGCGGGGGTGATTTTCACGGCGCCCGTGCCGAACTCCATCTCCACAAACTCGTCGCACACGATGGGCAGGCGGCGTGGGCAGAAGGGATGAACCACAAACTTTCCGTGGAGATGCTTGTAGCGCTCATCCTTGGGATGCACGGCCACAGCGGTGTCACCCAGCATCGTCTCAATGCGCGTGGTGGCTACAATGATCTCCTCGTCGCTGTCCTCCACCTTGTAAGCGAATTTCACGAGCACTCCGAACTCCACCTTTTCGTCGTAGCCGGGAATCGAGAGAAAAGTGCGTCCGGGTATCTCCACCTTGTCCACCTCAATGTCGGAAATGGCCGAGCGCAGGGTACATGACCAGTTAACCAGCCTGGAGCTGCGGTAGATGCTGCCCTCCTCGTGCAGCCGCACAAACGCCTCCGTTACGGCGCGACAGAGCTTGGGATCCATGGTGAAGTTGACGCGCGACCAGTCGTAGGAAGAGCCCAGCGACTTGAGCTGATCGTAGATGCGGCCACCCTTCTCGCGACGCCAGTCCCAGATGCGCTCGATGAACTTGTCCCGGCCCAGATCGTGCCGCGACAGCTGCTCGTCCCTCCAGAGCAGCTTCTCCACCACCACCTGGGTGGCTATACCGGCATGATCGCAGCCGGGCACCCACAGAGTGGTGCGTCCCTTCATCCGATGGTAGCGCGTGATGGCATCCTCGATGGCGTTGGTCAAAGCGTGGCCCAAATGCAGAGATCCCGTCACATTCGGCGGCGGTATGATCATCACGAATTTTCCATTGGGATTCGGCGAATCGATTGAATCGCGCTGTAGGGAAGAGGAGTGTCACTGTCAGTGTCCCGGTTGGTTTATCAATGGTTTCGTCTCACCCCGTATTCGGGCGTGAAGAAGCCCTGCTTCTCCCACCAGCTATACCACTGGGCCTCCACGAACCGCGGACTATAGGCATCTGGCAGCGGATCGCTCAGATCTTTCTTCTCCCCGGGTGCTGTCTGCGCCGTGTACACAGCGGCCTCTTTAACCTCTTTGGTCCGCTTCTGTAATGGCAGAGCAAAAAATTAGCTTTCTCCACGAACAATAGCCTCAATTACCAGATAGCTGTGCTCCCCATTCACTTTTTCGCACATAACCTAGTTTCCAGTGCCGCATTTTGTACGTACTTCGGGCTTCTCCTTCTTTTCGGCTGCCGCTGGAGCTACTGCCGCCTTCTTGTCCAGTTTCGCCTGCAGTTTGGCCAGCTTCTCGGCCTTGAGGCGCTCCTTCTCCAATTGTTTGGGTGTCTTAGCAGGATTGGCGCTGCCGTCGCCGGCTTGCTGTTGCTTCTGCTGTTCCTCCTCTGGCATGGTTTCGTCTAATGTTGGGCTGTGGCAATCAATAACAGGATTTTCTGATGCAATTCTGATTGGATTTTTGTTATTACTCACTTGCCTGGAGTTGGAGAAAAAACAGATGAAAACGTGTGCAGTTTTCGAAATGAGTTATCGTTATCGGCTCGATAAGTTCTGGTATTAAAAGAGATCACGTTTTTAATACTATTTTCTGCAAGGTATTTCGTGCCGTTTGGAAGCTGGCCGCACTATTCATTTTTGCATCACGAAAAAGAATTTTCGCAAAAATTAAATAAAAAAGCCAAAATAACGTTCTTGAGGAGATTATTGAGCGTAAAGTTTTTCTCGGATTGCTGCTGCTCACTATTGCCATTTAAAATTTACTTAAAACCAGTGTTTTATGTGTGGTGCCTCGAGAGGAGACGCTTTTGATAAGCAGCCATCTTCATCTTCCTATAGGAATGCCTGCTACACACGGGCTAGAAAATTGTTTGCTTACATTTATAAATGCCAAAACAGTTAAAAGCTAAAGCCAGCGATACTGACTCCGCCGTTGCACCTCCTCTTGCCACTAGGCAGTGCCATCCACCCACAACTACAATTCCACACAGACACAGACATGTGCAGCGCGCAGCTAATCTATTGTAAATAAAACTGCGTCCACACACGCGTCTATTGTGAACGGTACACATATTCTCGGTCACGTACGCCGCCGCCGCCAAGTGTTCCGTTCCTCCTGCCTGCTCCTCGTACCGTACAGTGTGCGGCTGTTTTACCTGGAATAAACTTTGCTAAAATCTGGAACAAAATTTGCTACAAATCAGTGGAGAATCGGCCCAAAGCATGTGAAAAGGTGTCTACAAAGGGGACCAGAGTGCATCATCGGAGGAGAAGCGGGTAAGTTTTGCAACGGGAACAAACATCTATGGGGGGGTCTTCCAATTACGTTTTTCTGTGCAAAATCGATTTTTCAATTTGAAAATGGCTTATTCGCCGCTTTTATTTCTCTCTCTCTCTCACTCTGTCTCTCTCTCTTTCTGGTTTTTGTGGTTCGGGCCCAGTCATTGCATTACTCGCCCTTTTAGGCCTTTAATTAATTGCATTAACTTTGGGGCGAACTTTTCAAGGGGTGGTGTTTGGGATGGGGGATGGGTTGAAAAGTGACTTTGAAAAGTTCTTGCCATGAAAAACACACTACATTGTGTATCGGATGAAAAGGAACTTTTCGACTATGTCCCTGCCCGCAAGAACTTCTTCTTCTGCTGTACCCATGAGAACCGTGCGGCTTACGCCCCTACCCAGTAGTGCTTCTCGCAATACCACAAATGCCCGATATTCTCGGGTAATGACTCCTTTTAACCAAACAAAGACAAAACAAATGTTTGAGGAGGACCAAATAAAGGCAGAACCAGACAGGATAACGAAATCAACTCTTTCGGGGCACAAACAACTGACCTGCGACAAAGGCAAGGCAGCCGTCAAGAGAAACATCTGCCGCAGTGTCTGAGCGTCTGGGTCGGTTCGGAGACAGCAGCAGCGTCTGAATGTTACCTGCCTTCAAACGATGCATGGATGGATGGATGGATAGTAGGTAGGACCAAAGTTCAATGTACGCCTGCGCAAATACAGTTCACAATGGGCACGGCGCAATGCAGCTGCCTGCATGGGGAGGAAGGGGAATGTCAGGGAAGTTGTGATTTTTTCCGCACATCCTTCTTGACGGTAACCAGAAGCCCCAAGCGGAAATCTCAAAATGTTGTTACAGTTATTGTTCCGTTCCGCCTTTCGTCTGAAACTTTTATGTAATCTCTCACTCCGTTCCGCGATCGGGATCAGGATCGGGTGTAAAGTCCTATGCCTGTCCTGTGCGTGTGCGTGTGATACCGGTTTCTGTCCCTCCGACACAAGTTGTTCAGAATGCAATTTGAAACTTTTCCCTCTTTTGGGGTCTGCCATGGATTGGGGGGAATCGTCGTCCCCTCTTCCTGTATGTCCTATCCCTATCCCAGGTCCTACGGGTTCTGGTATTGGGTTACAGCTGTGAGAGAATGTGTTTGGAAAGCTGTTCCTTCGTGGATGTTGAAGTTTTTTATGCTGGTTTGGGCTGTTTTTTGGGGGCAAAGAAACGAAGAGAGAGGCAGCATTTGGATCATGCAGATGATGCTGGAGCAGCTGCCATTAGGGCCTGCATCGTTGGCATCGTTGTAGGTCCAATAAAACTCTCGGTATCCTAGCCATTCTCCCACACACACACAGAGCAGAGTCAGTAACACCCTCAGACAATCAATCGAATTGGGTGCCACATTCGAAGGCAGATGTCAGGTCTAGTCCATCTATGTGGCACATGCCACAAGAGAGGACCCAAAGGACTCACGTTGAGAAGGAAGGCCAGGCCAGGACAGATGTTACAGCCGGACCCCGACCGCCGATACGAAGTAATCAATGCAACAGCAGGCAGAACGGCCAGACCGTGCCTCATGATCCCTACTGTCTCGGGTTTAGCCTTGTGCTCTGCTGTTCCCGGGCAACGGGCTGCAACGGCCGGCTGCATCTCAAAGTTAGACATCGCTGCACACACATTTTCACTGCATTTACAGCCAACATCTGTCGTTACAGTCCTCGGGTGCTGAGTCCTAGACAGCTGCTCTCACTCACTCGTTTGTTCTTTCCGAGCAAGAGGGGCTCTGACTGCCTGGCTGCCCGCTCGAATAAGTACTGTGCGTGCAGGTGTGGCACTGCTATTTTTGGGGCATTCCACACTCCTCTCCTTCCGGATTCTGCCGAGCCTACCCACTCGACGACGCACTCGACGATTGGGGGATGGATGGCCAAAAGTCAGCTGTTTTTGCGCAATGTTTATAAACAAAAAGTGTGTGCGGCAGAGTAACCCTTAGACATGTCTGGGTATATTTTTGGAATCACCACCGATTCTGACAGAGACATGGCCCGAGCCAGAGTCAGAGCCAAGGCCGGAGCAACCACCGACCTACATATTGGCGCACTGGCACTCTGGGCCACATGGCGCACGGGGTGGTTCCGCTCACACGCAGAGCACTGGCTCTGGTTCTGTTCTGTGGCCTTCTGTAGGTGCAAGGACGTTGGGAAAACCCCCCAAAAGAAAAAGTAAACAAATGGAAAGCAACCCCAGCACACAGCCAGACTGTCTCTGGCACCGACCGCATCCGCTCTCCTGGTCTTCGGTCTCTGGCCTCTGGTCTCCGGTCTCCGTTCATGTGTTTTAACCCACCACCTTCCATGATGTACTGGTGGCGTGTGCCGTGTGCCTGTGCCGGCATGTCATCCATCCACACAACGTCTTCGTCAATTTTAGGGGTTTTCCAAAAAAAAAAATAATAATAATACGCAACCAAAAACCAAAACAGTGCCGGGAATCAGTGGATTCGGTGGTAGTTAGAGCAAGGAGCGTCCGTCCGCGCGCTCCCATTCATAAAACATAAACATACCCCCGTAGAAGCGGCGCTTATGAGCACTCACTCGCATTGTTTGCCCACACCGACCACGGTGACGATTACGATTACGACCTGGACTAGGACTACGACTACGGCCATGGTAGGTGGTGTTTTCGCCGCAGATCCCATCCGGCAATTCGGGGAGTCCCGTGCAAGTCAGGTGCACGGACAACCCTCAACAACGGGACGAAGTGGTAACAAGTTGGTAGCTCAACAGGTTGAGGATTCTCATGGGTGGGTGGGTGCTTCGGGCCGATTGAGGATTGTAAGAGGGTATGTGTAATTAATACAAGTGTGGGGTTACGTTATGGCATTGACCCAATCAGATATCCGAATATGGAATGGAATGCCTTTACTCGCAGCATTTTGAAGGGTTGAACTTAACTTTAACTTTAGATGATGATGTTGTGCAGGGTTAGGATCTGATTGGAGCATTACTGGCACAGAATTTAGGGAAAATATGGGAATAAATTTTGAAGCTCTGTTGATCATTGCTTCCTTCTTTTATGGGTTCTAGATTGCGATGAAAGATTTCTTTCGAAAGGAATTGAGAAAAAATAAGTAATATTGGAAGAGATTCCTTATTGTGCTCTTCCCTAGAAATGGGATTTATCTTCTCAACTCTAAAAAAAATCGGAATTTCTTTTGTATCGATCCAAACCTGGCCTTTGTGTTCCATTTTAATCAGAACTTGACCTTCTTTAAGACGTCGCTCGGTTTGAGCAAGTGGTAGTCATAGAGTGGCCTCGTCCTCGTTCTCGTTCTACATTTGCCCATCAGCAACAGATCTGAATCTGGAGCATTATGTTTGGAGGATACCAAGGAAAGCGACTCCGGCTCCTCTCGCTGCTGTTTCCTTTACTTTCATCCTGCGGGATGGGATGTCCAAGTGCACGCCTCTTGAGCACGCGCCTACTGAAAAGATGACAAGTTTACCGTTTTGTATATGTACTTTGATATAATTTTACCGCTTTGCTTTGCGCTTTTCAAAATGGCGACAATGGCTGACCAATAAAACTGGAAGGGGCAGGGGGGACGGGACGGACGCTGAGATGCGAAAAACGTTGAAACCCAACCGAACAATGGCGGACGAGGCGGACGTCGTAAAAGAGAATTAATTAGATTGCGGCGGCAGCTGCTGGGCGTACGTACGGCAGCTGAGAGAGAACGGCAGCTAGAAAGGGACCAAACAACAGAAAACACTGAGCAAGAGAGAGAACTAAAGCCAGAGAATAATAGAGAGAGAGAGAGAGAGAGAGAGAGTGGGCTGAAAGCCTGCAACTGTAAAGTTGTCATGCGCTTTGAACGTTGCCTCTTTTTCTGTCTGTCGTCAGTTTTTTCATCATACCTTTTCCTTTAACTTTAATACACAACAATAACAAAAAGTAATGGACGCTACGAGTATGAGGACACCCATACAGACACACACACCCGAGTACACACGCATAGAGCGAACATAAAATGTAACGAACGCAAAAGCAAAAACAAAACAACGGCAAGCGTCAAGCGGCACCGCACAGGAACCAACGCAAAGGGAGGAGGACAGAGACACAAAGAGAGGCACAGGACACAGGACATAGAACAGGCAGAAACGAGGCAAAGGCAACGGCAAAGCCAAACAGTTGTGCAATTGAGATAAAGGACAACAAAAGGGAAACTTGAAAAAGGGGACGCGTGCTTTGCTTTTTGGTCGGGTCGATGTCGATGTCGACGCTGATGCACAGTGGTTGGCGTTCTATCGAAAATTGTAGAGTGCGTTAAATGGTGAAACAATCTTTGTGGCTTCCAAAAAAACCCAAAATAAAAAACGTATAGATAACTGTATAAGAAGTAGTACCGATAAAATATGTTGCGCACTCGTTTGAGAAGTATGAAAAATTATGTAAAAAAATTATGAAAACTAGAGAGTACAGATGTAAAGGTGAATAGACTTTTCTACATAATTAAATATCATAAAATCACCAATAACCTTAAAAAATATCCATAAAATAACATATTTTTTTTGTTAATTTATGCACACACTTTTTTCCCCACTGTGCCTAATTTCCGATGTGAACGCGCGTGCTAGTCGTCACAAAAGGATATAAAACAACAACTGCAAAGCAGTCGCTGCGTCAGCGCCAGCTTCAGAGCAGGAGCAGCGGCAAGAGCAGGAACATGAAAAAAAGCATAAATAATCTTGTAGTTGTTGTCGCAGCTGAGGCGCAAGGCTCGAATTGAAATTTTATGAGAAATTGTATTAGAGAAATGCTTTGTGAAATCACACGAGACACGGCCGAGCACACACACATGCACATGCACGGACTAAAGGAGCAGAGGCATACGTGCGTGTGTGTTCGTGAGGTAGATGCACAAATGGGAAATGGGAATGTGGAAAAAGGGGACGCGCATTATGGCACTCTCTACGTGTGTTCTTTTGACGACGTCATCGCTGCTGCTGCTGCTGCTGCGGCTGCTCCTCTGCTACTACCGCAGTTGTTGTTGGTTCCTGTTTTCGCTTTTTACCGTTCAGTCAATGACCACATTGTGTACACAAATGCAGCTCTCTGTCTATGTGTGTGTGTGTGCGTGAATATGTATGTCCTGCCGGAAGTTGACGCCGCCGTCTGGTCATTCTCGCTGTTTTCGTCCAAGCTCTCGCTTCCATAAGCTCTCCGCCTCTCCCTCTCCTCCTCTCTCTCTCTCTCTCCCTCTCTGTCGGTTCGTTCCGCTTGAGCTACTTTTGAAAAACAAGTAATTTCAGTCTCGCAGGATCTGTGTGGCTCCCCTTCGCACTCGCACTCTCACTCTCTCTTTCCCACTCTCACTCCCATAGCTGCGTTTCCCAGTCGCTTTTTCTTGTTGTTCGTTGTAGTCCTGCAGCGCAGTGTGGCCCATTCCTTTCATTCTGCGCACACGGGTCTCTCTTCTGGTCACGCTTTGATCCTGCCGTTCGCCCGCTCCCCACGCGGAGTACGACTCCTTCTCCTCCCCTTCCACTCTTTCCATTCTCCCCCTCTCCTGCATAGGCGTTGCCCGGCTAATGACATGTTGTAAATTATATTTCTCCTCTCAGAATTTCGTACGCCGTTTCATTCTGTCATAATTGCTCTGTTCGGTCGGTTTCTTTCCCATTCGCCTTGTTTCATTTAAAAAAGTTCTTTATGGTCCGTCTGTTTTTCTTTTTGTATGGGTTTTCTCTCCCCGGAACAGGGGGAAACTTGCAGCTCTGACGTAATTACTGCAGTTTGAGTTATCCTTTCCAATCGCAGATGTGCTAATTTCCATGCTAAATACTTGGACAGATGCATACAGGGATCACAGTGGTAGAGACTGTCTCCCTAAGGTTTTCACCTTTTTCCAATCTGATCATATGATAACAGAGCTTGTTTCTTGGCTGCATTTCTTATCAAAGATCTGACGATGTACTAACTGATCTTGCTTATGCGTTGTATTTTTTGTTTTATCTAATCATTTCCCAGATTACAAAGCTAAACCCATCCACTTAGAAAAAAATCACAAAAAAGATAATTGCATTACATCTGATGCTGCAAGATCTTTCTCTCAAGATCGCATACCTTCTAAAAAGAGATGTTAAAACGGGGTTTTCCGATGGCTGTTCTTTCAGTTTTATTTCTTGGATGTATTTTAAAAGTATACAGACATCCAATTTCATGACATACGACACCTTTTCAAGTGCTCGGCATGGTCCACATCTCAAGTGGACTCCTACCGTTAGGAGGGCTACCCTTCTTTTACCTGCCTCTGATTTCCGATCCCCGAACTGTAAGTCCGAGATTATGCAGATCCTCGCCAAAAATATTATATGGGATACGAGGCCCAGACAATCCCTAATGAGGACTAAGCCCCTTGCGATTTCTCTGCCTCGGCTTAGTCAGAGAGGCAGGATGAAACTAGAGATAGAGAGAGGATACAGAGAGAGACGGAGCGAAGGAGTGACCTAAGGGGGAGCCCAAGTGCGAGGCGAGAGCGTTTCCAATGGCGAATGAATGCATTTTCCATTCGGCACGTCTCGTTTTCGCAATGAACAGAAAAGCAGTTTGCCAAAAGGAAAAAGGAAAATGCATTGTTTGACAGATGGATGTGGATATGGATGTGGATGGAGGGACCGGTGAGCCCTCAGGGGACGGAGATGACTGCCAACTGCCGCTTTTCCACATTTTTCCTCTTCCATCCATTATCCTGCCAAACTTGTTTGCTCTCGCTCTGTCGCTGGATCTCTCTCCTGCCATCGCTATACCAATTTTCCTTTCAAATTATGCTTTACCAAAGCATTCGCATTAAAAGGACAACGCTCTCCAGCTCCTGTGTGCTGTATTTGTGTGCGTGTATGTGGCTGCCTGCGTGAGCGAGTATCTGTGTGTGTGCGTGCGAGCGAGCGAGTTGTTCCATCGACGACTGCGTCGCCATCGTCCTGGCATCAGGCTGTGGTTCAGTTTTCTCTCGCAGCTCGAACAGCTCAGACATGCCGCTGGTCCGCGCTCGCCGTGTGTGTTTATAGTTCGCATATAAGAGCCAGATACATAGCTATATATACATACAGGCCATACATATATATTGATACTCTCGTGAGCCACCGCCCCCCGTCCCGCAAAATATCACACACAAAAACGAAAGAAAGAAACCCGAGTCAAAGACTCTGGAAAACGCAAGACAACGACGCCATTTGATAACCAAATGTTGCAGGACAACATTTACAAAAAGTTTAAAACAACAAATTAAAACCAATCAATTCATCAGTTTGTTTAAACGAAAACTAAATAGAAGTTGTGAAACCAAAAAGTTCTGTGAAAGAATAAAAAAAAAACAAGCAAATATAGAGATATTTTTTATTTGCAAATGCAGATAAAATAATGTGCAATAAACTACGAATCATTATAGAGCAGTGAAACCACTGCTCCCTCTTTGGACCACCGCTGAGATACTTGAATTCTTTGCCATTTTGTTGGGATTTACACAGCGAGCGAGCGAAACGAAGGACCTCAGAAAAATAAACCATAAATAAAAAAGAACGACACGAAACGAAACGAACAAAAACTCATCGAAGCACATCACAAGTGAGTTCTAAATTTCATCTTTCCATACAAACAACACACACACACAGCTACTCCTGTAAACACACACACACACATATCCCACTCATCACTCGCCCCCTTCACTCGTTGATTTCTCCACTCGCCCATTATGTTGTATAGCCCTCTGTGTATCCTGCCTGGTCCTCTCTCTCTCTCTCTCTCTCTTTCTCTCTTTCCTGCTCCTGTGTCTACTCTGTTTCGTTCTCTCCATATGAAAACACTAACGAACCCAACTAGCAAATAGGTTTGCGCACTCGTCATTATCCTTCGTCATCGTTCCCCCTCTCCTTTGCCCCTCCCCTTCCATTTCCCCTGCCCATCGTTGCTGCTTCGTTCTCTTCTCCGTCGCTCTCTCTCTCTCGCACACATCGAAGCCTCATCGGGTGGTGGTACAGTTTTCTGCGTGGCCCAAAATTGCGTAAATTTTCATCTAGTTCGCGCTGGGATGTCTCGCACGGCGTTGGTTGTCCTCGCTCCTTTTCTGACTGCTGCTGCTGCTGCAGAGCTTTCAATCTGTTTATGGTGACAGTAAAATCGAAAAACGGAATAAAAAAAACAAGCGGAAACCGGAAAAGTTGTTAATACAAGTATACAGATGTGAGATTATTGCTTATTGGGCGTTTTCTATTTGGGAAGGATGCGGAAGGGTCCTGGGCATTAATTAATTGCCTGCCCCTTCTCTGGCATGATTTATTGCGGGGCATCCTTTTGGCATTTTGGTGTATACAGAAATACATTGCGAAAAATTGCGAAATGCTATAGTGGGAGAAAAGTATACCTGAAATCAAATACTTTTAATGTGTCTTTATATACGGAATCGGTTTACCAGAGTATTTCTGGAGAGTATTTAAAAGGAATCCGATGAATTATCAAATTTGGATTTCTTTTAAATTGGCTATAATCAGCTTTCATCTAACAACTAAATTGAATGATGAAATTATCCGGATAAGTTCTCTGACGGATCTAAGATAATTGTCTAATATTTTCATAGATTTCTCATGGAATAACATAAGAAAAACATCTTTTTATTTAACAAATTCTTCCATATTCGAAATATACTCTACGATTTTCAGCTTCTTTCTTTTCCAGCTAGTTTAAGGATATATGATATGATATGATATATGATACGAACCCATTCTAGTACTAACGATACAATATCTAGTCCTTAAGATCATTGCACTTCTTTTTGTATGGGTTTTATCCAGAAACATAAAGAGAAGGGGAATGGGTATGCCTGCTGCTGTTGTCTAGCATTTGAGGAGAGCGGAGAATGCTTCACGATCCGGTGATCGATCCTCTGCTCAAACAGTGGCAGAGGCACACAACCAACTGCATATCCTGCCAGCCTCTATCAACGGCACGAATGCCTGCTGTTGCCCCTGCCACCCTCGTCGCTGTCGCCGTCGCTGCTGCCTCGCCCATTCAGAAAAAAAGGGCGCACGAAAAAGTTGCAGCTGTTCTCTTTCTGTTTGCTTTGTGGCAGGCAGAACGATCCGCACCGCACCGATCCGATCCGATGCGATCGTTCAGCGTTCAGCGACGGAGCAAGCAGGCAGGCAAAGGCAGGAGGCATCTGCTTCGGATTAATGGGCTCTCCGAATGCATTTAGCCAGAGTCAGAGCCTTGAGATAGAGTGCTATATCTGATGAATGCGGGAGTTTTAATGCCTCTCTGCCTTTTATCACAGTTCCAGGATCGGAGCAGAAGCAGGAGAAATTAGGAGAAAGAAGAGAAGACAGACAGAGCGAGAGCAGGGCTATTAGCTCAAGTAAATATGTCCGACATACCGCGCATCATGGTCTTCCGACCCACCTGGGAGGAGTTCAAAGACTTTCCCAAATACGTAGCCTACATGGAATCACAGGGCGCCCACAAGGCCGGCCTGGCCAAGGTGGTGCCGCCAGCGGAGTGGATACCGCGGCGCAGCGGCTATGCCGATCTGGATGCCCTGAATGTGACGATTCCGGCGCCCATCTGCCAGGTGGTGACGGGCAAACAGGGCTACTACCAACAGATCAACATACAGAAGAAGCCGCTGACGGTGAAACAGTTCAGCGACCTCGCCAGCACCGAGCGTTACGCCACACCGAAGCACTTCGACTACGAGGATCTCGAGCGAAAGTACTGGAAGAACATCACCTATGTGGCGCCCATCTATGGGGCCGATGTAAGTGGCAGCATCACAGATCCCGACCAGGATGTAAGTGTTTCTTTGGGGGCTTTGTGACCGATCGTTCGTTTGCAACCTTTGGCTGTTGTGTTGCAGAGTTGGAACATCAACAGACTGGGCACGATACTGGACTACGTGAACAAGGACTACAACATCCAGATAGACGGCGTGAACACCGCCTATCTCTACTTTGGCATGTGGAAGACAACGTTCGCGTGGCACACCGAGGACATGGACCTCTATTCGATCAACTATCTCCACTTTGGGGCAGCCAAGACGTGGTATGTCGTGCCACCGGCGTATGGCCGCCGGCTGGAGAAGGTGGCCAATCAGTATTTCCCGGCCAGTTACAAGAACTGCAATGCGTATCTGCGCCATAAGATGACGCTCATATCGCCGCAGATCCTTAAGCAGCACAATGTCCCCGTTAGCAAGGTTAGCTTCCTTTCAAATTGAGAGATAGTCCCCATTAAGACACCCCCATCCTCCATCCCCTCCATCCTGCAGATCACCCAGGAGTCGGGCGAGATCATGATCACCTTCCCGTTTGGCTACCATGCGGGCTTCAATCACGGCTTCAACTGTGCCGAGTCCACAAACTTTGCCATGGAGCGCTGGATCGAATACGGCAAGCGAGCGGTAAACATAGATCCTCCCCCCACCACTTCAGGACAGCTCCCACTCATGCGGGTCGACCTTCTATTGCAGGTTCAGTGCACGTGCAGCAACGACATGGTCAAGATCTCCATGGACACGTTCGTGAAGCGCTTCCAAAGCGACCGTTACGACATGTGGATGGAGGGCAAGGATGTGGGCCGGCATCCGGAGGATCCCCTCGGCGGTACAACGGTCACAGCCGCACCGCTGCCGCCCCACCTCGATGTCCTCCTGTGTGATAAGAAGTAGGTTTCCCAGTCATGCAGGTTCCGTGACTCCCCCGCATTGACTATACCCCTACCTCTCCTTTGTTATGCAGAATGAAGAAGCAATGCAATCCCACCATAGCCAAGAGCTTTAAGGAGCGCAATCCCGACCTGGATCTCGACGAGATCCAACAGAATCCCAATGTGCCCGACGACGTCAAGGCCATGCTGAAGGAGAGCGTGCTTACCTTGGACACGGGCGATCTGGGCATCGAGGGCGATTATCCGAACGAGGATGCTGTCAGTCTCCAAAGTCCTGCGGACTTCAAGACCAAGCAGGAGCTGCTTGAGTACATGGACGATGGGACAGGTGTGTAGGCCAGTTGTAGAGTTTCGAGATCTGACCTAAAATCCCTCAATCTCTTCCCTTTCTTCCGCTCTCTCTCTCTCTCTCGCTCTCTTTGTCTCTGTCTCTCTTTTGATCTCTGCAGAAGACGATGACGAGGAGGAGGAATTTAAGCGACGCAAGGCGAAGCGGCGGTACGATGCGGACTACGACGATGACTGGCTAGCCTCCCATCACCGTCGCACCAACTCGCGGAACAGCAGCCGCGGCCGCAGTCCACGCACCAAGGACGAGCGCTCCGCGTCGCCGGCCTCCTCCACATCCTCGACGTCGCGTGGTGGACGACGCGGAAAGGGCAACTCGACGACCCGCAAAACGCCGTCCAAGCGAAAAAAGGACCCGTCCTCTGCAGTGTCTCCGGCTGCAGCAGCCTTAGTGGCAGCAACCACAATTGCGACACCAAATGCGGCGGCGGTTAGCAGCGATGGAGGTGAGAGCAGCAGCTTAATTAGCGACTGCACCACTGCATCCATATAACCACCGCAATTCGATCATCAATCCATCATCACCGTGATCCCATCATCCAGATCCAGATCTTCTCAGTATCCATATCCTTCCCAGACTCTCCAGCCTCCAGCATTCCCCCACCCACTGACTCCTCCGCGTGGATGGGTCGAAGGCCACTCACCCGTGGCCTCGACAGTCCCCGATAAATGTAAATAAAACTTTAGCCCCATCCTGCATCTGTCACTTGTCGTGCGGTTCTCCCTTTGTATCTTGTATCTTATATCTGTTTCTTGTGTTTAACCTACCTACGATACCTACATACATAAGTCCTCTAGCTCTGTTCTATTCGATTCCATTCTGCTCTGTTCTAAATATAATTGTAAGAGTGCTCCCAACAACAAATATACGATCACGCTTTTAAATCTATGCTTAAAACTAACCAAAAACCAAAACTGTTTTACTAAAACCTATTCCATGATGTCTCTGGGCCTTCAATCTTCAGTGTTTGTTCTGCTTTCGATTCTGATTCTGCTGCTGCCAAACCCTCCATTTATTCCATTCCCACTGCCTCCATGATCCATACTCCATACTCCTTTCATATCTATATTTGTGTGTGTGTGTGTTTACAACAAATATTAACCACTCAAAAAAAACATCTTTGGAAACTGTACTCTAAAACAGATACTAAAATATCCCCGATTGCCATTTTCCAGATGCCAAAAAGGAGCAGCAATCGCTGGCCTTCATGCAACAGCCGCGCAAGTTCGAGGGCAAAATACCAAAACTAAGTCAGCCAGCAGCAGCAACAGCTCCAGTAGGCGGAGCATCCACATCCACATCTAGTCAGGATCAGCAGCAGCAGCAGCAGCAGCGGATATTCTACGTCAATATGTTGCCGGCAGCCAACACTCTCAATGGCATTCCACAGCAGCAGCCGCAACAGCAGCAGCAGTATGGCAGCACCGATGGAAACGTCTATCAGCTGCAAAACGAAATACTCTGTGATGCAAATGGACAGGCCGTAACGGCTGCCACAGCCACATATCAGACGACAGTCCCAAGCAGTCCCCAACAGCAACAGCAGCAAAATGTTGCTGTTAGCGTGGCCAACAACAACGCTGCCGGTAAGTGTCTTTTCTATCATTTTTTGTGTTGTGATTTGATTCCTTAACTTAAATGTTCCTTTTGTTTGTTTGTTGGTTGTAGTCTTTGTGTTTGGTTCAACTTTAACCCACTTTGTGTACTCGTAATTGGTGTCATGTCGAAGCTCTCAGAACTAACCGATCCGCATATATCAACACACACATATATATGTATATGTATATGTATATGTATATATATATATAGTATTCGTATCTGTTTTATTTGTTTAACATTCAAAAATTGGCCAAAATTCAAATTAAAATTTACTCAATTTTATTTCGTAAGTGTCCGCATTTCATTCCATCTCATGCCGAATCATTCATCCATCGAGAATATCGGAGATCTGTTTTAAATTTTTAATTATTATATGTGAATGTTTTTGTTTTTTGCCAGAAAAAAAACAGAGATAAAAGTAAAGAAAAATAATTATTTCTTCCATTTGCGGTGCTCAAAATAAACATACGAATTGATTCAGACAGACTCATCCTCCACTCAATCGATTGAAACCCAAATGAAACCCTCACCTGATTAACAAGAACAAATGCTTTTCCAACTAAATAATCGTGTTTATTTTCCGACACGACACTCCTCCACTTTCATTGGTCTCTGTCTCTTCTCTCAAATGTCAAATTTCCATCAAAATTATACAAAATCTACATATATATATAAATAAATGCACAAATCATTTCCCCAGAGGGAACTCCGTGCTGTGCGCGTTGAAAAAGGCTCAAAAATTGTTGATTTTAGTTTTTCAATTATTATTTGTATTATTATTATTATTTCTAGTTAATTTAAGAGCTTATTGTTTATGTTTATTTAAAGTTCGAACGAATGATGCGCGCGCGCTCATGTGGTGTCCAGTGCGACCAATTGCTCAGCCGAAACAGTGCTGCCCATTCCTCAATCATGCGCACACAATTGGGCAGCACTTGAGCCGCGACTTGGCATTTTTTATTTATTTATTTCTTAGATTTGGATTTTATTAAATTTTTAAGTTAATTTTATACATAGAATATCTTTTTTTCTCTTCTTGTTTCTTATCTGTGAACCAAAGACACTATCCGTTGGCAACACTGCACTATCCCTCCCCTTAGAAGGGGTGGGGGGTACTCCAACTTTGGCCAATTCACAAATTTTACTTTCGCTGTCTTCCGTTCTACACTCAGTTATTGAAGTATTTGAACTATGTATTTTATTTGTTTAGTTATTGCGTTGCGAGTACTGTACAAGAGTAACGATTACGATTGCTATAAACTAGATCTAAGTACGAAAACACACAAATTCTACCGACAAACAAAAACCAATCTCTCACTCTGTCTCTCTCTATATATATATATATATTTTTGATATACCTAAAGAAGGTCCTGTACTGTACTGTATATATAGTGTGTGGGATAAGGGATATTGATATCCCAAGGCAACCTACATACATATATGTACATACGAGTATATGTACAAACGGACAAGTACGAGTAGTTATCATTTTGCACTACATTAGTTTTGATTTCGATTGATTGATTTCGATTTCCATTCCGATTACGATTACGATTGATTTATTGATTTATGCAAATATTACATTCAAACACATCTTTTATGAACCAAACCGAATATGTATTTTCCAAAAAAAAATATATAAACAAAAGACAATGTGGTCACAACTATTAGTTCGTCCTCCATCCTGCACACGAACGGCACCGCCCACACGAACGGAGGCGTGGATCCCAACACCACCCATGACCACCAGCACCACCATCAGCAGCAGCAGCAGCAGCAACAGCAACAACAGCCGCAGTACCACTACATCACCACCAGCGGGGAGGACGGACAGACCCCAACAACCATAGTTTTCGAGAACTATAATGGCGGCATGCCCGCATCTGTTGCCCCTGCCACGCCCACGCCTGTGTCGGTGGCTGCCTCGCCGGCGGCCACAACGACAACCACCACTGCCCTGGTCAACACGGACGGCACGATCATCGAGTTCGATGGGAACACCTACGAGGAGTACCATGTGCTCAAGAGCGAGCCGGGGAGCAGCGACTGCCTGAGCAATGGTAGCAGTGCCGTGGCGGCGGACATCATCAAGTACGAGCCGCAGCCAGTAGAGGAGGATGACGAGGAGAGTGGCCTGCAGGCGAAGTACGATGACGATGGCCTGCAGGTGAAGTACGAGGAGCAGGAGCAGGACCTCGACCAGGGGCAGGACTACGAAGAGTACCAGGTGATCAAGGCCGAGGTGGAAGCGGAGGCGGCGGAGCAGGCGGCCGGCGCGGTCACCTACACGATCTCTAGCATGACAGACGATCCCAACCAGCAGCCGCAGCAGGCATCCTCCGGAGACCAGCCCAACGCTAGCATGGTGCCCAAGTCGGGATCGGCAGCGGCCGCCAAGCAGAAGCGCAAGCGGAAGACGCGCGTCATTGCCGAGGACGAGCAGGGCGAGTACCTGGAGAAGATGAGTGTGCGGGGCCTGGACATCGCCCGCTATGAGCACATCATCGACGGGGTGGCCTACTGCCTGGTGTGCGCCAAGAACGACATCTTCAAGACGTTCAAGAACAAGTACAGCTTCCAGCGGCACGCCTACCTCTTTCACGAGGGCCAGAACCGGAAGATCTTCGCCTGCCCCATCTGCAACAAGGAGTTCTCGCGCCCCGACAAGATGAAGATGCACAAGAAGGACAAGCACGGCGACGTCCCCATGCCGCCATCGGCCACCATCACGCCCCTCAAGGGGGACGGCACCCCGGCCGCAAAGCGACCGCGAACCTCCCGCACACCTCGTGTCCGCAAGTCCAAGGCCAGCGACGCAGGCACCCCCACCGGCACGCCCGCCAAGAAGCGCCTGGCGCAGATTGACAGCGTGCTCGACGATGTCCAGAACTCGGAGAGCCTCTCCGTGCCGCACTCCCAGTCCCAGTCCCAGCACCAACAGCAGCAGCAGCAGCAACCCATGCAGCACACACTCACAACGACGCTGGCGCCCACGACGTCGCAGCCACAGCAGCTCCAGACACTGCCATCGCTGGACTTCAGCGGAATGATCCTGCCGGGTGGCGCTCAGCTGGCCCTGGCCAATCCGGGGGCCAGTAGCTCTATGACTCTGCAGCGCGGTGCGACCACACCCAACGGCGGACAGGCGGGGACGGGGCCCACGACGACGCTCATCTACTCGAATCAGCTGGAGCTACAACAGGCGCTGCTCCAGCAACAACTGCACGGTCAGAGCATCATGATCCAGGACCAGTCTGGTAACCTGGTGCCCCTGCAGTTGGACGGAAGTCAAACGATATACACGACGGCCGCGGCACCGCAGCAGCGAGCGCAGGCGACCACGGCCACGTACCAGACGACCCAACCGCAACAGCAGCAGCAGCAGTTGGTGCAACATCAGCAGCAGCAGCAGACAGTGGTGAAGGTGGAGGGGCAGTCGCAACCCCATTACGAGATGGAGAACGTGACCTACCTGAGCTCCACGGCGGCGGCCACGCCGGCGACGGCCGAGCAACAGCACCAACAACAACAGCAGCAGCAGCAGCACGTGATTGGAACGGTGCAGAGCTACCAGATCCTTACGCCGGATGGCCTGCAGAGCTTCCAACCGAAGCTGGAACCGGGGGAGCTGGGCGATCTGTGTCCCTACTCGCAGTACACGTTCCAGCCCACGCTCAACGCGAACGCCCTAGACGCGCACACGCAGCAGCAGCACCACCACAACCAGCAGCATCACCACCACCAACAGCAGCAGCAGACGCATCTGCTGCAGCAGCAGCAGTTCGCGACCCACAATCCGCACCAACAGTTCATGGAGCTGAAGAACGAGCTGCTAATCAAGGGCAGTGACGCGTACACCCTGGACGCCGGCTCCATGTACCACCTGCCCTTCTCGCCCACATCGATGATCAATGCGGTGAACGATGTGAACACATCGTCCCTGCTGGAGACCAAAGAAATTAGGTAAACACTTCCGCTAATCTCTCTCCCTAATCTACTCTACTCTACATCCCTTTTCTAGAACTGTCTCTCTGTATCTCTCTATATTTTCCCTAGTGTAACACGCTCGTCTAGTATCTGTCTCTATATATATCTCTCTCTCTGTCTTATCCCTAAAATGCTCCTCTATCTGTCTCTTTCCGTTGAATCTGTTGAGTAGTCGGCGGCGAAGCTGCGAGTCGCTTGTGTACCGTTGTGTTTCCCATTTCCACGTATTTAGTGTCGATCAACGCCGTTGTACTATATGCTACTAAAAAAACACTGCAACAAGAACAACGCATAAGAACAATGAAAGTACAAAATAAAAGTAAAAGCTAAATGAAATGAAACCACCGAAAATGTACATTAAGCATTTACCAGTTTAGTTTTAACTTAGTCCTATGCATATTTTACTTTATTTAGTATAATTATTCTTTTGTACCGTCTAAGAGTAACCTTATTTACTATTTAGTAGAACTTGGTTGTTTTTTTTTTACCCACGATATTTGCCAACATTTTTGTGCATTTATTTATTGTTTCACCCACTCTCCACGCTGTACATAGAATGTGCCTTGTTGCTTCCTGCCTCATCATCCAATTATCCCCTAATATCACCGTTTATCCCGCCTAACACTCCTAACTCCTAATGTGATATATAGTAATCAACTTGTTGCCCGGTTTTTGTTCCGAGACATAAGTTTATGTTCAAATACGTTTTATACCTCAATGCAATTTTGTTCTTTTTCTTTCTTTTCTCTTGTTTTATTTTATGTACACACAACCAACCCACCAACCAACCAATCAATCAATCAATCAAACAAACAAACCAATATAACACGCGCGTATGCATAATATCGAAATCATCGGTAACAGCTACGATATATCAGAGGCCGTGCTATTAGCCCTTTAAACAAGCTGAACCGCCATCGAAAGCTGCAGCCAAAGTACCAAAAAAAATCTAATTTAATCAAATCAAATGAAAACTATAAACTCACTCTCGATGAAACAAGAGAAAGCGCCAAGAGTGATAGATATAGAAAATGCCTCCTCGAGAGAAAAAGCAACGCAAATGGAAGCCCATTTTCAATGTTTGCCGAGCTGGGCAACCATCAAAATACTTATATATAAAGTATATACCCATAATACTCACTGTCTCAGCTCATTGATGCATTCATTCAACCATTCGATCTACCAATCAATCAATCATTCCGCCATCATCACTTGTTGTGCCTGTTCCTCTCTCTGTGTGTGTGTTTTGTGTGTAACATCAGAAAATCAAAAAAAGATCCGATCATCATGAAATACTATAAAGCTGTATAAACGATCCACAGCACACTTAACCAATATATAACATAACAAATTTAACACATAATCAATTAAAATTGGACATTTAGTGCAAGGTATGTGTACTTTTATTTATTCGCTTTTCGTTTTTGTTCGTTTCGTTTTGTGTTTCTTGCGTAACCCTTTTCCCCCTCGTTTTGTTACTAACCGAATGTCGTCCCTCTACCAATTGGCTCTTTGACCATCTCTTAACGGAATAGTAGGGTCCTGTCCTCACGAATATTCATACATGCATGTGCCAGTGTTTGGCAACATACACATGGTAAGGCCAGGATTGCATTTGCAACATGCATGTGTGAATGGCTATGGAAAGCGGGGGAGGAGGGGAATAATCCGCAGGCATCCACACAACATCCACATAACATACATTCGATTACCACAAAGCTATCAGTCATACATATAAGTACAATTATAATTTACTAACCCAGATTAACAGTGATTAAGCCTACCTAAATTACCAAATTACCAAAACGAAACCACTTAAGAAGAATGAAGCAAAATTGCTAATGAAAATGTTCTTTTTTATTTTTTTCTTTTTTCACCCACGAAAATAATTTTTCGTTCGTCCGTTGTTTGTGTTATTTCTTATGATTTGCACACGAAAATTCATCAACATGCGACATGAATCACAAAAAACAACAACCGAACAACAACAGGTTCTTCTAAACACCACAACAACCACATCTCCAAGAACAACAACCAGAAGGCAATGTTCAAGCGGCCATACACACCAAGCATTCACATACCCATCACCATCACCAACAACAAAAACAATACCACCACCACCAACAACACGAACCACCAGAACCAGAACCGTACCCAAAACACTGAAGACTTGCAGCGTCGCCAAGCGGAAGCGAATCGCATTTACTACGAAGAGATCGTCCTGAAGCAGGCACAATCAAAATCACGTGCTAGGCGCCTAGCCAGCAGCACAAGTTGCAGCGACAGCCAAAGGGGCACCCTCAACAGCAGCTTCGTCGACAAGTTTGCCGACTTTGTTACACACAAGACAAGAATGCCCATGCCCGACCCCAACCACCAGTCCCATGCCGTGCCGAATCCCAGAACTAATGCAAATGCTGTCTCATCTCTCATTCCTCCCCTCAACACGAACAGTGGAAGCAACGCCAACGTCGGCTCTGGAGCTGCTAGCAACTGTGTCTCTGTGGTGAGTGGCAGCGGAATCAATGGCTTCAAGGCCGGAGCCAAAAAGACGCCGGTGATCCTGCTAGCCGCCCGCGGCCCTGGAAAGCATCAGCCCATCAGCCTCATCAACGGCACTGCCAAGGCCGGAGCGGGCGGTGTCACGTTGCTGCGCGTCAATTCACAGCCCAGTCGCAACCAGCGGCAGGTCATCGTCGCCCCAGAGCAGCAGGTGCAACAGCAGCAGGAACTGACTGACGAAGAGGCGGAACAAATGGCGGAGCTAGCGGAGGATGAGGAGCTCGACGAAGATCTAGAGGATGACGATGATCTCTCCTCTTCCACCGCTCAAATCCTGCGCAAGTTCCGTATTCCCAAGGGCACGGCCCTGACTGCCAAGTCTGGGGACAACTACCTGGCCATGCCCACGCCCACACCCTCACCCCCAGGGGGCGTCAATGCGTCAAGCTCCACCGCTGATGCTGGCAACTACATTGAGAACGAAGAGGAGCTCATCGAGGAGGTGCACGAGGATGATCTGGTCGAGGAGATCATCGACGAAGAGCACTGCGAGGAGCAGCCCGAACTGGAGGATGATGGGACGACGGCCGACAACGATGGCCTCGACCTGAACAGCCCATGCCATTCAGTACCACCGCCAGTGGCAGCGACTGCCCCGGCGGCCCAGCAGTTGCTGCTCACCTCGGCCCCACAACAGCCGCCGCTGCAGCTGCAAACTGTGAGCTCCAACGGAACGGTTACTTACCTAAATCTGCCACCCAACACGATCCTGCTGCAGTCGGCCGATGGCAGCATCATAGCAGCCACCCAGGTGCCGCATCCGAACAAGGCCGGCCAGCATCAGCTCATCGCCTTGCCGGGCAACGTGGCTATGGCCGAACCGGCACCTCAGACCTCGGCGGCGCCCACGCAGACCCTGCTCCTGACGGCCGACGGCACGGCCATTCCCATAATGGCGAACGTAGCGCCCCAGCAGCAGCAACAGCACCACCAGCAGCAGCAGCAACAACAGCAACAGGCGGCTGCTGCTGCTGCTGCCCAGCTGTTTGCCGCGTAGGGGCTAATGGGTGGCCAAATGGGTCGATTTTTGAACAGTGCCACCATAATGCCGACCACTTATTTCTTCTAAGAATCGCCAGTTGATTGAGCAAATGTATCACAGATCCAAAAATGGTGTTGCTCATGCGGCAAGGCTTTGACTTCATAGTTAAGCCTTGGCTCGTCAGCAACAGTTTGCTAGAGATTCCCAGTTCTCGATTGAAATCGTCGCATTTGGCCACCCATGGGGCACGGGGAAGGGAAAGAGCAATTTGGGATATAGGGCAATAGAATCAGTATAAGAAACACTCACAAAAAGCCAAGCTAAAAAAACTTTGATATTACTACAATGTTGGATGTGCATAGAAAATTTATTTTTATACATATAATCGAAAAAGGGAAAATCAAATGTTGTTCAACACACCCACACACACACAAATAACAGACACAGCGTTGTAAAGGAATCAAATATGTACATTTCAAGAAAAAACTTAAGAGCATCTTACATTTAAATTATTTATACGACTAAGCTAGCATTAAACATTAAGTGCAAAGACGAGACACACACCCAAACCAGTTGTAACTACTCGTATTACCCCCGCTGCCCGAATGGAGCGGCGGAATATGTTTAGCCTAATTTACGAGAGTAGCATTGTATCGTATTCATTTCTGACTAGTATATGTATGTATGCACTACTCTGAATAGAAGAGATACGAATGCATAGCTACGAATATAATTTTGTTCCTTTTTACGTATCAAGAAATAGAAAAGAAGGCCTATTTCATCTAGTATTTCGTCACTAAGTTCACAGTCTATTTATTTATTTTTGTTAACCGATATCCCATGCGTATTCATATAGCCCGCGTCGCGTCGTCCCTTGTCATTATGGTTTCTTTTAGCTGTTTCATGTTGCATATTCTTTACGTGAAATATTATACATTTATATGTATGTTTTATTTGCAATCCTGTTATGCCATTCATTTAAGAGTAAGAGAATTCAAGCATAGCACTGACCGAACCTACTTTTAAGTTGTGAACTCCGACCCTACCCTGCCCCACTCGATACTTAAAGCTAAAAAGTATTTTTCATATGATTAATAAACCCCTACACCTAAATTACAGTTAAGCACCTCCTACCTACACCATTACATAAAATAGCTAACATTAATGGAAGACAATGATTGAAAAACGTATATAAAACTTGTAGTCTAAGACCCACAAAAACAAACAAATATGAAAAGAGAGTTGCACTTCTTGTAAGATATACTTCTAGATTAAGGTCTAACGATAAACGAAGCTAAACAGAAAGCGAATAAAAATCAGCATCTTGAGCAGCCTACAATATGTATAATAACGAGTCTTAAACTAATATTAATTTACGTATATAAATATATATATTTATTATAAACAATAAAATACAATTTTAAAAATTTAAAAGCTTACCGTCATCAACCAAAAACAGAAGCCGCCAGAGACAGGAGACTCTGCCATCTGCTGGTGTCGGCTGGCACTTAACTACATAAAGTCGAAATTAGTTTTCTCAGGCAACATATTCAGTTCATATTCCACGTAATTGCCAATTGGTATGGGTATAATGGCGGCTTGCAGCGTGTCCTAGATATTGGTTCTGTTCATTGGCATCGTTCTATTTCGTTTCGATGTCACTGGAACCATGGACTGGGTACCAAATATACAAGTTCAAATAAACCTTATTTACAACAATTATCTAACAACTATTTTACGACGTTCCAATAAGTAGAGCCACTGACAAACGCATTATTGAAACTAAAATCCGATTTCGAGATGCGTATGTGAATATAGGTTTCCAGTTGAAAAGCAATTTACTTTTCGCAATTAAACGATATTTAAATGTACATTTAGTTGTTATCTACATTCAATTATACGTACAGGTCTTCACAGGTAACATTATAAAGCGATTTAAATGAAGTCGAAAAAAGTTTTCTCATGCAACATATTCAATTCATATTTCACTTAATTCCCAATTTGTACGGGTATAATGGCGGTTTGCAGCGTATCCTGGATATTGGTTCTGTTCATTGGCTTGGTTCTATTTCGTTTCGACGTCACTGGAATCATGGACTGGGCATAGAACTTGATCGTACCCAGACATAGGGGTGGCTTGTCTCTGTAGTTTTCAAACGAAGTCAATGAAACTTGGTAGTAGCCCAATGGCAGCTTAATAGGCACAACACTCTCATCTATGAATAAATCACGTGCAAACATGTAGCCCTGAAATAAAAAGTCACATGAAGATGCCAGCTATAGAGTTACAGTTTTCGATCTTACCAAAAACGGGCATGAGTGATTGAAGTTGGTATAACGTTTGAGCAGATTCCACATGTACTTTCCATAAGGGCTATGATTTCTTCGGCCAATAATGTCGCATAGATTAACCAAAACATCCACCAAAAACGGATGATACTTATTGCTGTAGTCTCGTTTAAAGACTTTTATACGAACCTGCAATCGGAAAAGTTAGATCAATGGCTATGGCGTTCAAGTTACAGGAAAATGTTGCAGCTTTCGCTTACCGTCATATTGTTCACAGGCTGCAGAAAATACACATCCATCTGGGCCACGGCCATATTCCAGTTTATGGCCTTCAGGATGCACGAGGCATTACCAGTGAGCATTGGAATGGTGAAGCATTCTAAATTCGTCGTCTTATATATTACTTTAGGTTCGCAGAACTTAAAGTAAATATACATGTTCAAATAAACCTTATTTACAACAATTATCTAACAACTACTTTACCACGCTCCAGATCAGCAAGGCGCCAACAAGTAAAGCCACTGACAAACGCATTATTGAAACTAAAATCCGATTTCGAGATGCGTATGTGAATATAGTTTTCCATTTAAAAATCAATTTACTTTTCTCAATTAAACGATATTTAAATGTAAATTTAGTTGTTAATTACATTAAATTATACGCAAAGCTGGTCTTCACAGCTTGGGTAACATTATAAACCGATTTAAACCACATTTATTTAACAAATTACAACATAAAAAACGATTCAGTTTTTATTCTTCCTCATCACTGGTATCATAGACTGGACATACCAAACAATGCCACCGGCATGGTCTGTAGTCCCTTTTAAAGAGCTGAATCCGTACCTTAGTTAGCAAAATCAATTAGTTATGATTTGGGGGCCGATTGAGGTAACATAATTTACAGAGATATTAGGCAAGGGCTTCAACAGATCAACATCCATATTGGCGACAGATTTGTTCCAGTTGATGGGCTTTATGTTGCACGAGGGGTTCGCCGAGAAGTAGGAAGTAGTCGCCATCCCAAACATTCGATATTCTTCATTTTATAAATAACAGACGGTTCACAGAGCTGTCCACAAATTGCGGAATTAATTATTTTCTGAAAACTACGAATTACACAGACTATACTTACTATGCATACCCACAAGTGCTATGAAGTACATGGCCAGAACTGATTTATACTGAACATATTAAAGCATTTAAAAGCCCTATTTTAAAACAGTTCACTCGTGAACGATCGCTCACTGACATCTCCCTGATATGTTGGTTCGGCATGAATGCTTTCATTTCAAGAACACGAGTGTACGCGAATAAATAGAAGCTCCGTCAGCCGTGGCAGCCAGATTGTCCATTTTGGTGGCTCTGGTTTCACTGCTGGTTTCAAATTTCACTGCTACAGTACTGAGGGACTTGGCGGCTTTGTTTTGTTCCGCAATTGAGATGGCAGTGCTTCGATAAATCACGCGACAGATGGTCGCTGGTTGACAGCGCTGCCAGATGTGTTTAATTGAAACATCAGGTAATGCTTGGTACACATTTAAATTTAAATTCAAACCATCACGACGGTCAATGTAGTTCTTTTACCCTTAATTGTTTTTGGTTTCCTCTTGTTTCGCATGATCTCCCAATACCAATTAACAGTGCCATAGCTCGCTTTGCTCCCTTCCGAATAGGTTTCGAAAAATGTCGAGGATATCCAGTATGCACCCATTGGAATGGATGACGGTAAATTGCTGGTTTCGAAAACCATGTCCCGCGCGAAGAGATGACCCTACAATAGTTTATAATAGAGTTATTCAGTCCCTAGGAAGAAATCTGTGGTGCTAGTTACAACAAAAGGACAAGAGTGGTTGGCATTCGTGAACTTGTTCAATGTTTTCCACATCAATAGGCCGTAGGGTAGGAAAGCCTGCCCAGCTATCAAGTCGCACAAGTTAAACGCAACATTCGCCAGAAATGGTTTATACTGGTTGTTATAGTCCTTTTTATATAGCTTCATATGTACCTGCAAGCAAACTTTTCTCAGATGTTATTCACTAAAAATTAGTATTCCTTCTTACGGTTGGATTCCTTAAGGGTTCTTTAAGATGACAGTCCATTTGAACAAGCGACTTCTCCCAAGTTACCGCCTTGAGGTAACATGTGACATTTTCCACGAACTTCGGATTTGTTTTGCATTCAATTTTTGTTGTTTTCAGTACCAATTCGGGTATACATCCCTGCCAAAGAGAGTCCTTAGAATTGAATCGGTATAGCGCGTGAAAAAATAAAGATTCGTACCTTTGGGAAAACCACCAGCAAACAGAGAAGAACGATCATCATCACGATCGCATGGAAACTAGCAACTGAAAGAGTCTACCTTTCACCCTAACGATTTAATGGCTTTATAAATCACATTTTTGCCTCGTAATTACACTACTAATCTATGTAAAGATCAGTCTGGTTTGATTGAAAAGTCGTATATAATGACCTACGACACCCCTCATATGATCGTGCTTTTTGAAAAACGGAAACCTTTTTTGTTTTTTTTTTAGAAAACTATACCTCAGGGTGTATATATGTATTTCAGTAGTAGCTTTCCCGATTCGATTCGGAACATAACCAAAGTCTAATTACTAGCATTGAAATTCGTTTAGGCATTAATAATTTTAGTGATCTGAGTTTGATGCCTATCGAGCTTAATCGCTGACGCGGGCATAGACTACGGCCGTACGTGATGGGCTGTAGACCTCAATGAAGTTGGAACGACCAGCGTATCCCTCCGGGTCGGAGCGATGCTTAACATTGCCATCGATGCGGTTGTGGCCGCCAAACCTAGGATCGTCTGAGGAGAGCACCGCCTGATAGGTGCCCGCCCAGTTGGTGCCCACGCGGTAGCCAGTAAAGCTCTGGTGTATATGGAAGTTAAAGACGAAGACCAGTCCGGCACGCTCAAAGGCGATGATCTTGTCGCCCTCGTGCTTCCAGCTGACGTAGGCGGGTCCGGAATGCAGCCAACCGTAGCGCTGCTCAGCCTCGTTCATGGCCCGATCGAACTCATTGAGGTATTTGTACTTCAGCATGTTGTCGTCCACCAGGTTCCACTGCCGACGGGCATAGTGGTACGAGTCGTTGTTGCCCACGCGGGGGAAGTCCAGCCACTCGGGATGTCCAAACTCATTGCCCATGAAGTTCAGATAGGCCTCTCCGCCGAGGGCATGTGTGATCAGGCGTATCATCTTGTGCAGTGCCAGGCCACGATCGATAATCAAGCTGGAGTCCGACTGCGTCGACATGTGCGTGTACATCTCCTTGTCCATCAGCCAGAAGGCAATGGTCTTGTCCCCGACCAGGGCCTGATCGTGCGACTCTGCGTACGCCACCGTATTTTCCATCCAGCGGCGATTGGTTAGGGTGTGGACTACGTCCCCCATGCTCCATTGGTCGTCGCTCTGCTCCTTGAGCAGCTCAATCCACTTGTCCGGTATAGCCATGCCCAGGCGATAATCGAAGCCAATGCCGCCCTCCGAGACGGGACGGCACAGCGTCGGCATTCCCGAGACATCCTACAGAGGATATTCATGTGAAAGATGTCGCCAGGGTTCGCTAGGGACTGACTTACCTCCGCAATGGTGATGACTTCGGGGTCCAGCGTGTGCAGCATATGATTGGCCAGCCCCAGATAGTTGAGAGCATCCGTGTCGACATTCAGGCCAAAGTACTCATTGTAGTCGCCGCTGAAGCCCTCGCCAATGCCTCGCGAATGGTACAGCATTGAGGTGACGCCATCGAAGCGGTAGCCATCAAAGTTGTACTCGTCGTGCCACCAGCGCAGGTTGGACAGCAAGAAGCGCAGCACCTCGTACTCCACATAGTTGAACAGACGACTGTCCCACAGAGAGTGCTCGCCGCGGGCTCCGTCGTGGAAGAAGCAGCTATTGGTGCCGTCAAACTGGTTCAAGCCATCCTGTACATTCTTCGAGGCATGCGAGTGGACGACATCCAACAGGACGTACAGCCCGTGGGAATGGGCAACATCAATCATTCGCTTCAACTGTTCTGGGTTGCCGCAGCGGCTGGAGGCGGCATAGAAGCTGGTCACCTGGTAGCCAAAGCTGGCATAGTAGGCGTGCTCCATGATGGCCATCACCTGGATGCAGTTGTACCCCTGCCGCTTGATGCGGGGCACAATGCGATCGGCGAACTCGTCGTAGGTGCCCACGCGCGGCTCCTGCGAGGCAATGCCCACATGGCACTCGTAAATCCTTAAGGACTTGGGCCTGGCTGGACGGGAATGCTGGCGCTGGTAGCGCTCCGATTCTGGTGGCTGCCACACGTACTGCTTGTAGTTAACCCCTTGGTTGGCCTCCTTTGGTGGCTGCACCACATACTTGGCCCAGGGCGACAGGCGATCCAGCAAGTGATCAGAATGGTTCCGAATGATGATCTTAATCTCGCTCAGGTGCTTGATCTGTGGACTGCCATCCGCATTGGGGGGCAGATGCAGTTCCCACTTGCCAAACTCAAGTTTCTTGAAGGGATGCGACTCCCAGTGCCAGTTATCTGTGAGGTGGGGATGGGAAATCATTAGTTCTGTTGGTGACAGCTGCGAAAAGCGTCCCACTTACTGAAGTCGCCTGCCAGATAGACATTCTTGGCCCCCGGTGCCCACTCCCGGGCAATCACCGAGTTGTCCGGCTGAAAGTGCAGGCCGTAGTATTTGTATCCCTGCGTGAACTGGTCCATTCCGCCATCGCCTTGGTTGATCTTGTCCAGCCACTCCTGGAGTACGCCATGTCTGCAAAGAATCAAACGCCAAACAGTTGAGATCTGCATCTGCGATGATAAAATAAAGATCGCATAGCGCGCAGCCCTGACTTTGACACAATTTCGGCCACAAGCCCGCAAAGGCGTGAGCGTCAGCGGCCAAGGCCAAAATCATCTCATTCATGCTGCAAACACGCCGGTAACACGCTGCGAATCCAACAGATACACTATGGTCCGAACGACCACTTTTGTTGGGCAAAATTAATAACTCCCGAACGGAACAAGATTTTTATACCCGATACTCAAAATGTGTATTGGGGTATATTAGATTTGTGGTAAAAGTGGATGTGTGAATGAATCGTTTCCGACCCCATAAAGGATGGTGCCCCGAGTGTGGCATAGGCATTGAGGAGGACGCTGGTCACGTCCTCTTCGACTGCCACAGGTTTGACCATGAGGGTCAGACACTGGAGGCAGCAGCAGGGTCTAGGGTCAGTACCGAGACTCTGGTACCGCTGATGCTGGCAGACCCGAAGGTGTGGGGAAGCGGCTGCGGAGTTCGCCTCTAGCGTGATGCGAACGCTAGAGAGAAGAACGCCACTGCGAAGCAATACTTTGCGGCAGTACCGCAGACCGCGGGGGTACTCCCTGTACTCCTGTCCGTTAATTAAGATAAATATAAAATGTATAGTATATTATATACAAAAAAAAAAAACACGCACGGAGGCAACAATCACCGGTGACCTTCTAATGACATTGCGAACACAGTTTTTCCAACTGCATGGCGCTCAAGCCTGCAGGCCAATGCAACTGATATGATTATGCATCTGATCTGCGACCGGCACTGGACAACAGACCGGAGGATGGGGCTTATCAGCAGCGCACATAAAGCCGGCGCCAACCTTGGATTACATGACCGTCAGCCTACAGCCGGCAGCGGGCGGACTTACTTACCGTCGTCGGATCTCACGCTCGAAAGGCCTCAAGTAGCCATCCGTTGAGAATAGTGTCTCGATGTCCTTAACCTTAACTTTCATGGCGTCGCCCATGTCGGCGAAAAAATCAGAAGATGAAAACGGAGAACAGAGCACAGAGAAAGAGTTTCCACGACCGACGGCGACGAACTGTACTGTGCTTTTTTATCAGCCTGCAAGCCCACACAAAAGCTTTGCTTCTTTCTCGCTCGACGAGCTTTTGTAGCGTCCAAAACAGCTGTTATCCCAAGTTTTCTTTTTCTTTTGATTCGCGCATATAAACAACAAAGCAATGCTGCACATTGCATGTTTTTCCGCCTGATAACAGAGTATGTTTAGTATATATAGACTAATTTCCCGTGATTGATGATTGCCTTTACGGTTGACATAGTTGAACTGGCATCGCAGCGTCGTTATATGCAAATTGGATGAGATAATGCTGTTGTCGTCAAGTGCCTGGCATTTTCTTACAAACAAGTATACGAGTAGTATGTTTGAAAGTCTACTTTAATAAAGAAAACAAGGTCTTTTCCATGCACCACCAACAAGAAAAGCCATTAAAATGTAGTGCAATGCTGGTCGAAGCTGGAAAATTAAGCAAGTGGAGGGTGTTCATCATAGTCGAACTACAATATTCCATACTGATCATAAAGTTTTCAATTGTACTCGAAAGTGCGTAAGATTAGGACTACAATCCAGATACAATTAACATTAATACTAAACACACTCAAGAAATCCTCCATGTATGCTCTAAAGGACTGCGCTGCTAACATTCTCGATGATCTCAAAAGCGGCGGAAATCTCCGCCTCTTCCAGCAGACGGTTCACGGCAACTCGTATACTAGGACGCACTGGCTTGCGTTCCCTATTCTGCAGGTAGGCTGCCTCCACGACCGCCACGCCTCGAGCAATACACTGCGGATGGGGATAATGTTAGACTACATTTTGAATATACAGCACGAGGAGCAACAATACCTTGTCGGCAACATCTATGAGGCGCTTCCGTTCCGCATCGAAGTTTTCTCCGGGAATGGCCAAATACAAGTGCTTGACGGGGGACAACTCATCGCCGTACAGGTGCAGCTTGGAGAAACGCGAAAAGATCTGATGCAACAACTGGGCTTTGGCCTGCAATTGCTCAAAGATTTTCGGCTCCCGCTCGAAACGATCGAGGGCAGAAATGGCAGCTTGGGTCAGCATGGGCGGCAGTGAAGCGGAAAATATGTAGCCCAGGCCGGAGAGACGCTGATGCTCGGCTATGAAATGTGAGCCCACGCAGAAGCCGCCAATGGTGGCCATGGATCCCTCCATACCAGCGGATATCAGATCGATTTCGTCCCGCTAATGGAAAAGACGAGATAAGTTTGGTTTCTCAAAGAAAAGTCCTTCACTTACATCGATATTGAAGTGCTCGGTGACACCTCGTCCTCCTTTGCCAAGTGTGCCAAACGAAACGCTCTCATCGATGAAAATACGCAATTTGTATTGCTTGCGCAGAGCCACGAGCTCGGGAAGCGGACAAATCTTGCCCGTATTCATGTAGATGCCCTCTGCAACAAGAAATCGACGCGTCTTGAGAGCCTTCTTGGGGTTCTTCTGATCACGCTTCTCCTGCTCGACGAGCAGCCTCTCAAGATCCTTGACATCATTGTGTTTAAAGAATGCGATCGTGCTGCGAGACGCATCCAATCCCTTTTGAATGGCAAAGTTGACACCTTCATCTCTGGAAGGGTAGAGGAGCTGTTGAAAACCCAACATATAGCCAATTTTCAAAAATTACTTACACAAATATAATGTCGCCACGCTTGGCGTATGCGGGAATGGCGCTGGCCACCGTCGAAAAGCCATAGGAATACACAATAGCTTCCTCGAGGTCCATGAACTTGGCAATACGCTCCTCCAGCTCCAAGTGCACATCCATAGTTCCATAGAAACCGCGAGGACCACACGATCCGACACCATATTTGCGCAGAGACTTGCACGCCTCCTCCAGAATGTCCTGGTCTTCAAGGAAACCCAAGTAGTTGTGCGAGCCCAGGTTGAGGCAATCGTGTCCATCGACGTTTATGCGCTTGCCCACCTTGGACGCCACCAAACGGGTGCGCAGCAAGGGATGATCTGGATCAGTTTCACCCACCAAGGGTTCTGGCTCATAGTTCTCAATTATGAAGTCCTCCTCCTCTTTGGTAAAGCGACGGCGCCGTCCACCGCCCCGTTTATGGAGCAGCAGCCAGATGACGGTAATGAGCAGAAATATTTCTAGAACAAGTGCAAACGTGGGTGTCTGTCCCAAGAGGCAATGGTTATCGCATGACGACGAAGGTATACAAATTATAGGCGTTGGCATACTCACATTCCGAAAGATGGTCCCAATTTCGTTGAATAATTGAATCACCGCCATTTTGTCAGGTTCACCTCAGTTCTTTCTGTGGAAAATCAATTGAAACCGCCTTAATTTCTGACTGTGGTATGTGTCATCCAAACGACGCTTTCTTATCGCAATTCGAGTACATCTGCACATATTTTATGTATGAATGTACATTATTTAGACACCGATACGAAGTTCTATAGCAAATTTGTATGCGCACGAATATACTTACAAGCTGAATTATGTACGGTTAATATACTATCATTACCTTGCTAATCTAATGATCGTGTCGCTAGTGGCTGATATTTTAGATAAAAGCGTGCACAGAAGTGTGCCGCACGGCGCAATCAGCTGAACAAAAATATCTGTGGTATTCCAGTCATAGATTTTAGTTTGATTTTGGTTTGATTCAAATCAAATTATGTGTGAATGGTCGTAACAAACAATCATTGTAGTGTTGGTAATGGCACCATTTTTGCTAAAATTAAATGTTAACCAACACCAAGTCTTACCAAACTGTACCTTCAAAATATAATTATCTTCATTTCCGAGCGCTGCTATCAGTTCGTCTAGAAAGAAAAAGTACAGCTTATATTTCTATCGGTCACTGTGCCTGGTCGAGTGCGACCACAGCAGTAAATAATTCGAATTCCCTGCCTAATTCACATTTAATAATGGATTTTCGTTTTTCTTGGAAAAAGAAATCAATTTCAAATCGTTTAAAGAAGCAAAATACCCTCTACGATGGCAGTTGAAAATATATTGAATTTGAATAGAGATAAACAAACATTTGTTTCTTTCTACAAAGCCAACAAAAATTTCCTATCGACATTTTTTGTTTAATCACGCAAAATATTCCCCAAATATACTGATAAAACGTCTTATCAAATGTCCCAAATCGCCGCCCTCATGTAACTACGGGACCTTTGAGCGAGCTAAGTTCTTGGTCCGTCAGCAATTACCATTCCGGCAATAATAATTAAACATTTTTGGTTAAGTCGCTTTCAATGCATAGATTTATTTGTTAAACTTTCCTTGCTTATAGTTGTCTTCCAACTGTTTATGTTGTTTCATCAATTTAAAACAATAATCGTAATAAAACGTTAGAACAAATTGTACTGTCTAGAGATTGTGTACTGCCAAAAATTTAAAATCATGTTTCTGTGTATTGCTCTAAGGGAGCAAAAGACAAATGCCCGTTGGAAAATAGAAACCGAATATAGAGGTGGATGTGGATGTCGTAGACTACATTTAACCAATATGAAATAAAATAGTATCTGGAGTCTGTTTCATAGTACACAGTTTAGTATTATGTTTTGTGTGTCGCAAGATCGGGTATGGTTGCCTTTTGTGGTGGTTTGGACTAGCCCAAACGGCCAGACGCTTAAAACTGGCCAAACTAAGGTTTATTTTTGTTTTAATCGGTTTGTTAATGTTTAAAAACTATCATATAAAGTTTAGTTTAGTTCATTTTTTGTTTGCTTCTGTCCAAATGAAGATTTGCCTGTTGACAGACGGACAGAGGTGCGGGAGTGCAGTATGCCGCTTTCTGCTACTTCTTGTCGGCGCCAGAATTGGACTGTGTGGAGTATGAATATTGAGACCAATAATGATTGGTGGCACCGCCATCATTATTGCCAGCGACGCCTCCTACACTGCCGCTCGCGCCTCCACTGGCATTACCGACCGCTGCTCCACCAGAGCCCTGTGCCTGTTGCTGGAGGGGAAGAGAATTCAAGTGCATTTCATTTAGTCTTCTTTCGAGGGCCGAAACGAATGAATGTCTTTGCTTACCTGCCACCAGGACATCCACTGTTGTTGTTGCTGTGGATCGGCACCCTGCCAGGCTTGCTGCTGCTGGTTTCCATAACCAGCTAAAATAAAAACGACAACATTTTAGTTGCTTCATCTATGCGGATTGATAACTATTCTCCGTACGCACCCTGCATTTGATTATATCCCCAATATGGTTGCTGGCCGGCGGTCTGTTGCTGCTGCTGCTGTGGGTACTGTTGTGACGGCTGCTGCTGTTGCTGCTGCCAGACTCCTGTCTGATGCAGCTGCTGTTGCTGCTGGGTATAGGTGCTCCACTTGCCGCTTAGAGAGGACTGCAAAGAATAAATCGTGAATTAGCAGAAAGTCGGTGGCGACTTATCACACCACTCACCTTGCCGCCGCCGGCTGTTCCACTCGTTTGCTGCTTGTACTGATCGTAAACACCGCCACCTCCTCCTACGCCACTTCCGGCCGAATTATTGCCATACTTAGGCACAGATTGGGCAGCTGACCGCTCATAGCCACCGCGACTATCTTCTTTGGTGTCGCGGTGGCCAGGCCGAAAATCCCGTTGTTGATGAGTGCCTCCTCCGGAGCGGTAGCTACTCTGGCTGCTTCCCCGATTCCGATCCGTACTACCTATTCGGCTGCGATCATTGCCGCGATCTCGATCGCGATAGTCTCGAGAGCTACCGTATCCGCGATCATCGTACCCGCTTCGGCGGTTGTTCTGCATCCAGTTTTGCTGGCCGCCGCCTCCTCCGCCCCCACCTCCGCTGCCACCAGTGTACCCACGATTACGGTTGTCATAGCCACGACTGCCGCCTCCGGCACCACCGCCGCCACCGCCACCACCTCCATAGCCACGGTCATCGTAGCCGCTCCTGCGATTGTTCTGCATCCAGTTCTGTTGGCCACCACCGCCCCCGCCTCCGCCGCCACCTCCATAGCTGGTCCGGCGATTGTCATAGCCACGGCTGCCCCCGCCGCCACCGCCACTGTTGCTGGAGTAACCTCCGCCGCCACCGCCACCGCCACCGCCGCCGCCTCCACCGCCACCGCGCCTCGAGTCATTCCATCGGCTTTCGTGTCGCTGTCCGCCATATTCCCGGCGACGATCATCGTTGTAGCGATTGCGGTTGCGCTCGTCACGTCGGTAATTGTCGCGGCCGCCCCGAGATCGCTTGTCCCTGGACCTGTCCGCATCGATAGCCTTCTTGCCCTTCTCGTTGTACTTCTTCACCTCGCTCTTGGCCTCGTCGCCGCTCAGCTCCGTGTAGATTATGTCATCGAACCAGCCAAACTCCAGCGAGGGCAGAGTGAAGTTGGCTGCAAAAAGAGTGATTTGGCATTACAATTATGACTGCAGTTTATGCTGTGTGAGATTTACGTGTTATCAATATACACATTACACATTATATAAGGTAAGAGGCCAGGACGGGACTGGAATAGAGGATGTGGGACAACTGTGGGAGCCGTGTGAAGGCGAAAACTTGTTGATTTACTTGAGAGAGAGGGAGATTCTAGAACTCAAAGAAGCAACCGCAGCAGCACAGGCTGTGCTGGAGTTCAACCTGTTGTTTACTAGGCCTATTTCACTGTAATTGAATGAGAGATCCCTTTCTCCTTGAGGGAGGGGAAAATTAAATCTTTTTTTCTTTAGACAAACAAAGTTTTTTGAGGAAAAGGCGCTCGCACACGTTGCTTCCCAGTTGTTTTGGGGAAACGGGGTTTGTTGGGATTGCATAAGACATTATAGATAGATAGATTTATGAATAAAGTAAATCATAATAAAATCGAAATTATAAGCGAATGCGAGATATCTGTAGAGTCTTACAGTTACAATTACGTACAGATATACATAAAATGCAGCTGCTTACAAACTAAATACTTTACATAACAAATTGTATTGCATAGTCTTTTCATTTCTTTTTTTTGTACATAAATGCCTCCTTAAAGTAGGGTAGTATGTATGTATGTATATGTATATATAGATACACAGTCGTACATTATCTGGATATTTGTCAATTGTTTCAATTCGTTGCCATGTGTGGTGGACAATATTTACCTCGTAAGTTATTAATTGTTGATTCTTTAACTGTAAAAGCATTTCCCTTTTCCTCTTTTTCGGCGATCCGACGTTTCAACTCATCTTCGCCGGGTATGCAAACGACCGCAATGCGTTTGAAGTCGTTGAAACCCTTCATTTTACGTCGCTGGGCCGAGGCATAGGCATTCGTCTACAAGTATATAGTTGATCGTTTGGTTGGTTGGGGTTTTGAATAGATTGTAGTCTGCCAGTTGTTGTTGGAGTTGTTGGTTTTGGGGATGGTTGGTTGTAGTTGTTGTAGTTTTGTTGGATAGTCGGTGAGAAACGAAACACGTTGATGATTCGGTTGTTGCAGGACGATGCAAACCCCGGGAAACGCAGACGTAGTCGCCGTTTATCGTCGGGAGACACCAACTCCGGTTTCAGTTATGGCGCTTACAAGCTAACACATACCTGTCACAAGGTCACTCACTCACACCCACACACACAAACTCCACTGCACTGCACTCCACTCCGCCAGGGAGTAGGGAGGAGTACCGGGCGGATTAGGGTGCGGGGGTTGTACTCATATAATACCTAGGACGGGGCCTCGGGGGCCCTATTAACAACAACTAACAACAGTTGACTAATGATTGCATATATATATATATGGGGGGTGAGGGTAGGGGGATAATATTTTAAGTAAAGGTACAAGTGGTGTGGTTGTTGGTGCTCTGTTGGTTGTTATCGGCTGAAGCAGCATCGCATAGCTCTCTCTGTAGATACACATACATATATATATATGAGATAGTTGGCATTTAGAGAGAGAGAGTAGAGAGTAGAGAGATAGTAGTAGGTACTAATACGTATAGTATACATATACATATGTGATTAGATTGTAGACGAACAAATGCGACCGAGTCGAGTCGCTGATCGGATTTAGATTTGGTTTTTGTGTATGTTTTTTATTTACTTACAGTGGCTTCCATGCCGCACGCTCCATCTTCCTTCCTTCTTCTCCTCCTCATTCACTCTTCCTTCTCCTGCCATCTCAACATTCCTCCTTCTCCCTTCTCTTACACTTCCCTCTCCTCAAACACTGCCCCGTCAACTGTTGCACCTAAGTAAGACTTAATAATACAGATCTGATTGGTACACACTCTGGCACATACTTACTGGCATCGTACATACTTAGAGACACTAATTATCGGATTGACTTACACGTCTAGGACGTACCTGCCTGCCGGCTAGGCAGTTGGCGGCGCCCTCCCACTCCGCAGCGGGGGGCGGGAGGGCACTTTGGATTACCTTTCGTGCGAGCAATGAGCAATCAAATGCGTATTCAAATGTACAGAACAAACGAAAAAGTAATGGTAACAGAGTCGCGCGTCTTCGTTTGTGAAGAGAGATGTCGGTGGAGAGGTGGGGCCTCATTCCCGGAGGAACCAGACCCCACATTCGCAACGCCCCTAGGCGCCACTTGCATGGCTGGGCGGGTGCCAATTCATCATCAACGTATAATTCTCGCTTGTTTC